ACAAAGTCAACAAGCAATTATAACAAATAACTTAACGATTAATAACGATAGACTTTTCACTGTACGCAAGCGTACTTTTGGGAGCAAGCGGAACGAGGGCGCGGTGCGGGACGTAAGGTTCGACTGATCTACCAATAACGCGCTCGATACGACTTCCCCTGCCGTCGCGCCTCACCCTCACCACCAAAGTGATCTAAAATTCGGTTCTGCGCAGTCAAGGTCATTTGCTCAAGAAGTTTGCCGGTTACTATACCACCCTACCTATTTCTGCCGTGAAGCAGTAATGCGTTTCGGTTTGAAGGGTGCGGTAGCCTTTGCTATACTGAGACCTTAGAACTCATATTTCAAGGTGGGTGGCGGCATTTACGTTGTAGATGTCTATGGGCTCCGGTAACCTTAACATCAGCTGAGAACTCGTCCACCCATCTAAGCAGTTTTCATTTAATTTTTACTGAGATCGTGGTCTGTTAGATAGTGTATTTTTTTCCTAAAAACGATTGGTTTATTATTCCAGAGAAATAAAGAGACTATTCTCTTTGTTATTTTGATTCTTCGATCAACAATAATATCTATACTATTGTTGATCGAAGTTTTGATTAGACGAAGATTATTTATCGGTTTCAAAACAATTTTCCGGGTAAGATTCGTCGAAAAATAACTAAAATATTGTGTAGCTTATATAATCACAATTGTTTCTAGAAACAATAACTCGACCGTCAGTCTATTGAACAAAAACAACAACTCAGTCGAAATGTCTGCGTTAACTGGCGACTATGACGACCTCATAAATCGTATTTTATATTTCTATATCTATCGTTTTTGGCCACGACAACGCGTAAGAACAAATATTCTCATGGAATTCACGATTATTTTTTTTAATTTCAATATTTTTTGTTAATTGCTATATTTTTAAGCTCATATATTGTCACTTTTATGAAATTCATGAATTTCAGTTTAATTATTGTCTATTAACTTTCTATTTTTGTGTATCTGAAGTAAGGCTATTTGTATTCTTTGTACGAGGAGCAGTGCTGCTTGAGATACAGGTTTTATCACCTAGTTCAAGCACAGATGAAAATTATGATTGTGTTTCTACTTCTATGTTAATCTATACTAATATTATAAAGAGGAAAGATTTGTTTGTTTGTTGAATAGGCTCCGAAACTACTGAACCGATTTGAAAAATTCTTTCACTGTTTGGAAGCTATACTATTCCCGAGTGACATAGGCTTTAATCTTTTTTGAAAAAAATTAGGAATCCTTACTAAAACTCCAATAATGTAACCCAAGGTGTACAAAAATTACCTAAAACATTCTTTACATCGCGTGCGCTGCGAAAACTATTGATGATAGAATAAAATAACGTACTACGACTTTGTAGAACACATTATTATTTACAAAAAATGTCGCGACAGCATATGTCTAACTATTATAGTTGTGCCGCAATAAGTGTTCATTTATTTAAAAATATAAAACAACGTCAAATATCGTTAAATTTTTTGTTAAAGACCCGAGCGGAGCCGGAGCTTGTAATAAATAAATAAAAGAAATGATCTCGGAGAGTTCGCTCGTTTATTGTTGACTACCCGAAATGCCTGCGGAAATCAATCATTACTTAGAAATGTGATCGCTTAGGCGAATAGTAAATAATTGAAGATAGCAAGTAATTTCTAACATTTCAATTCTGATAAACAATTATTCAGAGACCTTAGGTGTGCATGAACTAGTTTCAAAGCATATTATAACCTTTGTAAAAGTTTCGATAAAGCTGTTTTTTGCATGTTCGTAGTTGATATTTCCGACCTTATTGTTCTAGTTTCGAGTATTAGACTAGCGTATATAATATAACTGAAATCGATAAAAAATAAACACGTTAATAGAGCGAATCTATATATTAATACGTAAAGCAAAAACTTTGTATTCCTTTTTTCGAAAATTGCGCGTACGGAGCAGTATGAAATTTCCCACATTTATAAAGAATATAGAGAAGAAGTGCAGAATACTTATATTTTTGGAAATTATGCATTAATAATACATTAAATCAATAAAAAAAACATTACACGCACTACTATATTATTTGTTGACACACACACACACCATGCATACTATTTGTATAGCGTAAAACTTTTCTTACTACTATTGTCAATTATCAAACTTTTGTTATTGTTTATCTTTATTAACATTTGTCTAAAGTGTAGTCTTGGCAAAATCTGTGATTAATGAAGTATATTATTAGTCTTCGACAATAGAATCATAATAATGTTCAAACTTATAATTTTAATTAATTATAGTCGAATTTCGACTACTGCGGGACTACTCCTCCTCCTCGAGTCGTGTTCCTCATGTCTGAGGGTCGTGACCACCATCACCCATGAGCTTCAATCTTAAGATGTTTTTCCACTTTCCCCTGTCCACGGCGTCATGCAGCGCGCTGTACACTGTACTGTCCAAAGCGGTGCGGATCTGATCGGACCAACGAGTCGGGCTGCGGCCTCTAGATCTGTTGCCTTCAACTTTCCCTGTGATCATAAGTTTTTCCAAGTTATCGCCGTCTTTCCTCGTAATTTCGTCTTTCGTCGGGACTACTAGTCAAAATAAATTTGTAAGCTAAATAAAAATACGTATTATTCTCATTGTGTGACGTCAGAATATTCAACAACAAAAAGATCGTAAATGTTTATTTTAACGACCTTTATTTCTCATATAAAGACGGATAGAATCGTAAAACCGTGAGAAATGAACGATGTTAGGTACTTTATTTTTAAAACCGATATATAATTTTTTTATAGTTTATTATAGCTTAAAGTATTTTTAACCGACTTCAAGAAAGGAGGAGGTTCTCAATTCGACTGTATGTTTTTTTATGTTTGTTACCTCATAACTTTTGACTGGGTGAATCGATTTTGATGATTCTTTTTTTTATTAGAATTCCGCGTGGTCCCATTTCAATTTAGTCCAGTTCTGATAATGGTAACCACGAGAAAACCATATAAGTCTTAAATTTGCATTAAGTACGTGCGCGACAAATAGATGAATAACTCAAAAACTCAATATCACGCCAACCGATTTTGATGATTATTGTGTATAATAATTTTTTTTGGAATATCTTTCGTTTTCTATTTGAGGTCGATTTTTGTTAAAGCATGTCTATTTACAATTTTATCTGTAATATCGTGCTAAAAGACAACAAGGCGTGTTTTTTTTTTAATTGCTAGATGGGTGGTCGAGCTCACAACCCACCTGGTGTTAAGTGTTTAGGAGCCCATAGACATCTACGACGTAAATGCACCACCCACCTTAAGATATAAGTTCTAAGGTCTCAAGTATAGTTACAACGGCTGCCCCACCCTTCAAACCGAAACGCATTACTGCTTCACGGCAGAAATAGGCAGGGCGGTGGTACCTACCCGCGCGGACTCACAAGAGGTCCTACCACCAGTAAGTACGCAAATTATAATTTTGCGGGTTTCATTTTTATTACACGACGCTATTCCCTTCACCGTGGAAGTCAATCGTGAACATTTGTCGAGTACGTATTTCATTAAAAAAATTGGTACCCGCCTGAGATTCGAACACCGGTGCATCGCTCAACACGAATGCACCAGACGTCTTATCCCTTAGGCCACGATGACTTCAAGTCAATCGTGAATATTTGTCAAGTACGTATTTCATTAGAAAAATTGGTACCCGCCTGAGATTCGAACACCGGTGCATCGCTCAACACGAATGCACCGGACGTCTTATCCCTTAGGCCACGACGACTTCAAAATGTGTGTCCTGCGGCTTCACACGCTTTACATTAGTAATTCAGAATGAAACGCGTTGCATTCTCCCGCGATGAAGAGTCACTAGTGCCACTCTCTGGTACATAAATTACCAAATGATTTGTAGATCCATTGGTAGTTAAAATCATGAATCAGTCAACACGCAGGCGTTTTTATTATAACTGTTATACCAGCGATGGGTCATTTACCGTGATAAAAATTAACTTATTAATCTAGGCAATAGTTTTGCGAGAATTCATCTTAACTCAATTCAGCCATTTTTGCGTGACTGAGTATACGCAAAACATAATGCTTTCATTTTTTTCCCTACCTATTCACTAGTAGCTCAAGAGGCTATTTCTACCATCGGATAGGAATCGCGACCCACTGAGAAGAGCCGGCGAGAAACTCAGTGGACTGAGTCTGTATGTTAGTTCGCTTGTCGAACTCTTCGTCGTTTCCTTTCACACTTAAAATACACCTAAGTATAGATTATTGGGTCAGGCATAGGTTCTCCCCATGTCACAGTTTCTCGTAGTTCATAGACAACACATAGTGAATGCTACCACTGATTTTGAGTCATTTTCGATCCGGGTGGTAGATGCAAAGCGATAGCCCTTGAGCTGTCCAGCTCTGTAGGCCTTTATGCAGTTGTTAGCAGGCCTACTCCTGGCTAAGCCTATGAGCTCGCCCATCCATCCCAGCAATGCGGCAAGATCTTTAGATAAACCTAGGTATTCCCAACTCATTTTATTTATTAAATGGCGTTACATTGTTTTATCCCCTCCTTAAGCAATTCAATGCTGATCCTCTGCAACAAACAGGCCTACAGTCGCGGGCTCAAATAACAGGTGAAGACGCCTTCCGCTCTAATACTAGGAGTAGAGACCCCGGTAACCGTACTCGTCGAACTCGGCAAAGAGTTCGACGTGCAACTAAACCTAAGCATCAGCCTGTTGAGGTTTCTTGCCGGATCTTCTCAGAGGGTTGCGATGCCGATCCTGTAGTAAATTCATTAGAGAAACAGCTACTCTTGAGTTGTTAGGTCTCCCTTGGTGGTGCTCGGGTAGCTGTTAGCAAATCCCGCCCCTTCCGGCTGAGCCCTTGCTCGCCCACCTGTCCTTGTGAAACTGGAAAGGCCTCAGGGCTACCAGTAAACGCTCAATCATAAAAAAACAACAGATGAAACTATCACTAGAATATTAGCGTTTATAATTATTTTTCTTTCATTTTCAGGGTGTATCGTTCATAGGATGGCATTCACGCACAAGATTGGAGCGTGTTCTGCTCGTGACCAGCGCTACGCTCTTTGTGGGCGTACTACTCATGGTGACTCTGTTGCTAACCACAAGAGGTACTCCGGATATTCCTGTGCCACCATGCTATCAGCCTGAACCTAAAGGTATGTGCAGTTATTATTTATTAACTTATTAGTGGATGTGTGAAGCTTAATTATGAAGGTGTTCAAATCCGTAGGCAGATATAATTTTTTTTTAATGAACCAAACTATGAATAAGTTCCATGGTGAAAGAATAAAATAAAAATCAAACCCGCAAAATCATAATTTGCGTAATTATTGGTGGTAAGGGTGTCTTGTCAGCCCGCTTGGGTAGATTCTATCACCCTACCTATTTCTGCCGTGAAGCAGTAATGCGTTACGGTTTTGAGAGTGGGGCTGTTTTCGGTAGCAATTCGGCAGGCAGCGGCTTGGTTCTGCCCCTGGCATTGCTGAAGTCCATGGGCGACGGTAACCACTCACCATCTGGTGGGCCGCATGCTGGTCTGCATACGAGAGCAAAAAAAAAATATGTTGTCTATAAGCGAGAATTAGAACTCATGTCTCAATTGAGGGTTGTGGCATTTCCGTCGTTGATATATGGCCTTTAAGTTCTTAAAACCAGGTGAACCGAAAAAAATTTGCTTCTTCAACTCTAATTTGATATGTAAATAATATCTATGTGTATGGTACCGTATGCTACTGCCTTAAGAAATCGTTTCGGACGTCACATTTTGACGTCATGTAACCGCAACCTTGGACCGCTTCATTCAGTTGTTTATTACTATAACAGTTTTTGATAACGTACTTAAACAAAAGTGATACCCAATCTCGGTATGGTTGTGTTTTGCTACGTGACCTTATTCCTGCAACATTAAAGTCATTGAGCCACTGAGTTTCTCGCCGGACCCTCTCAGAGGAGGAAGATTCACATCTGGTGTCGTCGTGGTCTAACGGATAAGACGTCCGGTGCATTCGCGTTGAGCGCGATGCACCAGTGTTCGAATCCCGCAGGCGGGTACCAATTTTTCTAATGAAATACGTACTCAACAAATATTCACGATTGACTTCCACGGTGAAGGAATAACATCGTGTAATAAAAGTGAAACCCGCAAAATTATAATTTGCGTAATTACTGGTGGTAGGACCTGTTGTGAGTCCGCGCGGGTAGGTACCACCGCCCTGTCTATTTCTGCCGTGAAGCAGTAATGCGTTTCGGTTTGAAGGGTGGGGCAGCCGTTGTAACTATACTGAGACCTTACAACTTATATCTCAAGGTGGGTGGCGCATTTACGTTGTAGATGTCTATGGGCTCCAGTAACCACTTAACACCAGGTGGGCTGTGAGCTCGTCNAAATGGTGGTAGATTCTGCGAAGTATTGCTCTCGCTAGGGCCAGTATTAGCAAACTGTCTTGAGGCCCTTGAGCTCATCTATCCGTCCGCGCGTAGCTGGAATATCTCCATAAGGACCCCATACACGGAACGTCTGTACGATCCACCGTTTCAGACCGATCGAAACGATGGATCGTTCCATATATGGGGTCCTTTAGGCTACCGGCGAATAGGTAGGGAACAAAAATGGAAGTCGTTCTTGAAAAGGCTTTAGACATGCGTTTGTTTTGATAAATTCAGTGTGTGTCTTAGAATTAGAACTTAAGGGATGTCGCCGGGAATGTGGGTGAATGCAGTGGTAGTATTTAAGGGATGACACCAATAGACACAGTCTACTGAGTTTCTCGCCGGATCTTCTCAGTAGGTCGCGTTTCCGAACCGGTGGTAGATTCCGCGAAGCACTGCTCTTGATAGGGCCAGTGTTAGCAACACTTCGGGTTTGAGCCCCGTGAGATCATCTACCTGTCTAGGCGTAGCTTAGTAGGAAAAAAAGGGATGAAATCTGCTCTGTTGACTGGTGATGAGGTGCAAATGACTCAGACTTCCGATCAGAGCACTCCCCATGGAACACATAATAATTATTTCACTTGTTTATTTAATAACAAATTACTTAGCAAGAAAAACATTTAGAAATATAATTTTGAAAAAATAATAATAATAATATCGAAAGCCTTATATTATCGTCTCGGAAACATGGGTATCGTTACATTCAAAAGTTGTTTATTTAAACTAATAATGTATCGTGAAATGGATTTCATTAGCATCATTTTAACGTTTGAGATTTCGTGTTCATAAAGGATCTCAATAAATAGTTCGTTCAAATAATATAATATTTTCTTGTCGTATTAGTGTTCAATATTTGGTTCTTCGTGGAAGAATCGATGATGGTGTTCAAAACTTCAAATAGCCCTTCGCCAAACCGCTTTAGAGTATATTTTCGATTGGCGAATGCATTTCAAAGTTACATAATGGAAAAATTGTACTTTTTTTTAACATGAACATAAGTTGTTAGATAGTACAAAGTTAAATATCATGTGTTCGCAACACTGAAGGCTCAACATGGACAAGTTAAATTTTTACTCACTTGGCTATCACATGAGCTCACGGTCCAGCCGATTTTGAGATTTTAAGTGGATGCAACATACGCTGCCGGGCTCCTTGAAATCTCAATTGAATTGGAACAACGGCCTGCACTATGGCCGAAATTGATAATTGCTTCTCGATAGAATTGGGCGGAACGAATCTTACCCCCGTATCTTTAGTCGTTCACACGAGCTTAACTCGACTCGACTCAACCTCCAACGCGCGTTTTGGTATGTTTGATTGTAAAAATAAGCTCCACTCAAAAGTCCTTGAAAAAATATCCTCACCGGAGTGGAATAAATGAACTGAGGATAATTTTCGAAGAACTTTTGACTGGAATTTATTTTTACAGTGAAGCATACCAAAACGCGCTTTGGAGGTTGAGTCAAGTCGAGTTAAACTTGTGTGAACGACTAAAGATACAGGGGTTAGTCTCTCAAGGGTACTACCGGTGTACTTCGATCGCGCATCAGATGTTATTAACGAATACCAGACCCTGTGTGTGAGTAGCTGACCCTGAGCCCTTTAGGATACCAACGAATTGTTAGCGAAAAAAATATTACTACATTAAAATACACCAGTACATACTCACCACCGAGCAACGGTTGAGAAAACCGAAAAACGCATTTCACATAACTGCCCTAATAATACAGCGCTACTATCAGCCACAGCTGGAAAGCCCGTTTTTACACTACAGAATAGGTGGGTAGGAATAAAAAGAGTAAAATAGCGCCCGTTTTTACACTACAGAATAGGTGGGTAGGAATGAAAAGAGTAAAATAGCGCCTGTTTTTACACTACAGAATAGGTGGGTAGGAATGAAAAGAGTAAAATAGCGCCCGTTTTTACACTACAGAATAGGTGGGTAGGAATGAAAAGAGTAAAATAGCGCCCGTTTTTACACTACAGAATAGGTGGGTAGGCATAAAAAAGTAAAATAGCGCCCGTTTTCAGGCCCAAGCATTTGTCTTTCGAGCTCCTGCATTTACACTGCCAGCGAGGTCATCCAGGCTCTGGACGAAACTAAGGACCCGTGCGATGACTTCTACGAGTTCGCGTGTGGAGGATGGCTGAGGAACAATCCAATTCCTGAAGGAAAATCTACATGGGGTATCTTTAGTAAGATCGAGCTGCAGAACCAGTTGATCATCAGGTCCGCTCTGGGTAAGTTACAACAAGTTTTTCTTGTTATTTTTTTTTTAATTTTTTTATTGCTTAGATGGGTGGATGAGCTCACAGCCCATCTGGTGTTAAGTGGTTACTGGAGCCCATAGACATCTACAACGTAATTGCGTCACCCACCTTGAGATATAAGTTCTAAAGTCTCAATATACAATACAACGGCTGCCCCATCCTTCAAAAAACGAAACGAAACGCATTACTGCTTCACGGCAGAAATAGGCAGGGTGGTGGTACCTACCCGTGCGGACTCACAAGAGGTTCTACCACCAGTAAAAAACTCCACAAAACATGAAAATAAAAGTGAAATCTATTTCACTTTGTCTTGTCACGTTCACGTTGTCTACAACGGCAAGTATGTGAATGCAATAAAGATAGCTCCAACGGTTGTATGAATTGCTTTAAACTTCCGCGGTCAAGAATATCTTTATTTGACGTGGTTTTTGTAACGATTTTTAGAACTTTCCCGATATTGACGGTAGCCGTAAACGAAAGATAGCGGAATTTGAAAAACAGAATAATGTCTTTTTAGTCACTTATTGGACGGCACTACAGAAACTCGAATGCGAAAAAAAAATTGATTGTCATTGAATGTATGTTTTTTTAAATAACAATAAGGCGTTTACATATTTTTTTGGACTGTTTGAACAACCTTTTACAGTTCGGTATTGACGTAAAACCATCGCTAAAAACAAATGCAGGAAAATATAACAATGAATTATCACTTTAAGTAAATACCGATTATTCTATATAAAAAGCATACAGTACATACACTATTGAATATTTGTTTATTTCGTTTCTGTTCTAGACGGTACTTTGAAATGTACACTTAAGCACGAAAGTCGTATGTTATATTTAAAACTGACAAATTAACAGCAGCAATGGACGTGTCATAGGTAACGTGCCAAGACATCCTAGAGTGTAGCTGACCGAAGCTTTGTGTCAAAGTATAATATCTTCTCGGTCATTTGTAGCTTACCTTCGCTCCGATGAAATTGAATTTATGCAAAAAGGCTTTTTTTTTATTGCCCTTGTAGGCAAACGAGCATACGGCCCACCTGATGGTGAGTGGTTACCGTCGACCATGGACTTCAGCAATGCCAGGGGCAGAGCCAAGCCGCTGCCTACCTAAGGAACAAGGCTTTCTTGCTTGTCAACTTATTTCATTACATATTTACCGAGGCCTATACAAATCTCAAATCTCCAACACGATGGACCGACCTCGTAAAATCTGTGACTCACTCCAACATAAATGATTGCTCTCACTCTGCGAAACATCGTGGCACGTGGCGTCGCATCGCGAGAGCATCGGTATCGCAGGATCCGACTGATGCATGACCACGACCACTCTGTCAAGAGTGTACGAATAGGAAGAAGAATACAAATCAGAAAGATAATTGCGCAATACAAATTGATATATTATGAGGTGTAACTTAATTATATGATAATAATAAATTATTTATTGTTAGCATAGAAGTAGAGACACAATAATGACTTTGGATCTGTGCTTGAACTAGCTGATAAAGCTTTACCTTAAGCAGCAGTGCTTCTCGTTCAAAGAATATAACAACTTTAGGTGCTTATATAAAAGTTCAAACTTAGTGGACACAATTAGACCGAACTAAATAATATAATTGAAATAGAATCGAATACAAACACAAACGGAAATTCAAACAGCAAAAGTAATTTATATCAATATATTTTTTATCATTTATTTATTTAAGGATTACCGACAGGGTTGACAGTAAGACATAAAATAACATTGACATGTATAGAGCAATTGATAACTGCAACTCTAATTAGAGGCAATCACAGCATGCATTACATTAATATATCAATAGAGATTTAACAATACTATTAATAATAATAAAAAAAAAAAATTAAAAACAAAAGAAAGACAACAAGGACAATAATACCCGAGTACTCAGACCAAGGCTGAGGCTGAGGTTCAACAATAACTTTTTATAATTTTGTTCCTGAATATTGGAAGGGAATCGCCAAATATGTCAAGGTTTTTAGCTTTTCTGACTAGATTATTATAAAGGTTAGTTAGACGAGGAGCAGGTGAGTGCTTGCCTAGATTGGTTCTGCTAAAGCGAGTGCTGAAAAGAGCAACGGGGCGACGAGGTAACCTGGATGGCACCTTCAAAGAGAATTTATTGAGGATGGATTGGGAGTCGACAGCACCGCTCATAACTTGATGTAAAAAACACAAGCCTAACATATCGCGGCGATCACTCAATGTTTGCATTTTAAAATATTTAGCCCTATGAACATAAGATTCAACATTATTAGGCGGCCTAAAACGGTACGACATGTGGCGAAGTAACTTTTTTTCGAATTCTCTCAATCCTGTTAATATGGGTTTTGTTATTAAATTTAAAACCGCTGTCTCCCATTATACAAGACTATGTTTCGATTGAATTAGTGAACTATTGTAAATCGTTTCGTATCGTTTAACGCGTCTGTGTTCGCTAAAAATTAGTACCTGAATTCGTATTGAATACGAATTTTATCAAAATATATTCTGTAAACGAACCCACTCGTATTTCGTTCACGAGATTGTTCGGATGTTTCGCGTGCAATTAGCGTCTGCATAGGTTGCGTGGGTCGGACGTCTGGGTTGATATGTTATCCACGGAGGGTTGGGTAGGCAGCGGCTTGGCATTGCTGAAGTCCATGGGCGACGGTAACCACTCACCATCAGATGGGCCGTATTCTCGTCTGCCTTCTTAGTCGAATACTTCATTGCTGAAGGTCGTGTCCTTGAAAGCCCTTCGTGGCTCTTTGTACCCTCAGCTTCCATTTGCTTCGGTTTTCGGCTTCTCTCAGGGCGTTCGTAACAGGGAGTCGTGAGCGCAGTTATCTGATCCGACCAACGGTTTGGTGGCCGGCCGGCGGGTCTTTTCCCTTGCCCACCACAAGGTAGAAGGGGAAAGACTATTCTCGTCTGCCTACAGGAGCAATAAAAAAAGATCGCTCTATTTCAGTCTTGTTGTTTCAAAAAGTTTATTTATTACACAAGTAAACGCGATTTTTGAATCTGGGTTCTGTTTGTTTGATTTTGATTAATTATATGAAATTAACTATGGGATTTTTTTTATTGTAAAGGAGACCTGCTTTTAAACTTCTTGTAGAGCTTTTGCTACTCGAAGTGACTCTCAAAATCTTGAATATCTATTTTTCCTTATTTAAATGTACAAAAGCACGCTTTATTTAGTAAAAATGGAGCCTCTGGTTACTTTTCGTTGTAGGTTATCGCAAAATAAGCATTTAGTATTGTGAGGCTTATTGGGTGATGACGGAGAAGGCGTGCGCGTTTGTTTGTTGCGTGTTGTCCTCCATAAACCTCATCAGAGCGGTTTTTTTTTTTTATGATTGAAAGATTACTGGTGGCCCGGAGGCCTTTCCAGCTTCACCAGGACAGGTGGGCGAGCAAAGGCTCAGCCAGGAGGGGTGGGATTTGCTAACAACTGCCCGAGCGCCTCCGAAGGAGACCTAACAACTCAAGAGCAATTGCTTCGCGAATGAATCTACTATCGGATCGGAATCGCGACCCACTGAGAAGATCCGGCGAGAAACTCAGCGGGCTGATGCATGGGTTAGGTTGCACGTCGACCTCTTTGTCGAGTTCGACGAGTACGGTTACTGGGGTTCCTCAGCCTGCTCCTAGTGTTAGAGCTGAAGGTATCTAATGCAAGAGTTATTGGATCTGATGGATCCGTAAGGACGTGTCTAGGGCGACGACGGTGACTTGCTCATGCGTGATCAGGATTTGGGATCATCAGAGTGGTCAATAAAACACTACGTATAATTACATGTTTATTCGCGTCAGCGACTGCGGTGGATCGCTGCACGTTAACCACTGACTGACTAATGTATGTTGCTCATTACTATAAACGCATAGTAAGCTAAGCGGGGCGGGGTATAACTCCCCTACAGTATGTAACAAATCTAAAAAAAATATTTTTGACTTTGTTATTTATTCATCAATGGAAGGTAAGCCGCAGAAATGCATCGATGTGTTTGAAATGCATCGATCTTTTGATTTTAATAAAGAATTCATAGAAAAACAGGACAACGCGATTCGTTCTGAATGACGACTGTATCCTCATGCCAACTTTTTACACTGGCGTCACGGCGCTTACCTTGCATGATTTCGATTTATATATTTACCTAAATACGCATAATTTTGTAAGGCGTTAGGAATTTAAAAGAACACTCGTCGATTAGTTACACAATATTAATAATAGATGGCGTTGTGTAACATATAATTTGCGGAATTACTGGTGGTAGGACATATTGTGAGTCCGCACGGATAGGTACGACCACCCTCCCTATTTCTGTCGAGAAGCAGTAATGCGTTTCGGTTTGAAGGGTGGGGCAGTCGTACTGTAATAACAGAGACCTAAGGACTCGTGTCTCGAGGTGGGTGGCTGCATTTACGTCGTAAGTGTCTATGAGCTCCGGTAACCACTTAACGTTACGGTGGGCCGTGAGCTCGTCTACACATTTAAGCAATAAAAAAAATGTTTGCAAGATTTTTACAGGAATATCAACTCACTTTTGTAGCCGACTGTACGTATCATGACGACTATTAAAGAAACATAAGTTACGTATTGTGGAGCTTCTCAATAAAGTCAGCTAATAAAAGTAAACAAGACCCTAGTTGGTCCCTATTATGCCATTATATCGTGGTATTCATGAAACATCGTGGACGCCGTCACCACCTACCTATTTATATATATAAAATTGAAATACACGTCCAAATATTAACATGCCTTTTTTATGCTAAAAATAATATCCATTGGGTACAATTGAAACACGATATTAAAATAATCACAGCTGCCGATAAACGGAATCTGTCTTCATATAACAAACAATGTAAAATGTCCGTTACAGAAAAGGTGAATACTACAAACAAATCGGAGGCCGAATATAAGGCGCGCGTGTATTATGATGCGTGCATCGACACGAATGAAACAATAGAGAAACTGGCCGAGAAACCTTTGATAGCGGTAATCAAGAAACTCGGAGGCTGGCATATACTGCCGTCAACGATGGTCAAACAGCAGAAATGGGACTTCCAGAAGCTGGTTCAGGATGTGCAGAACTCGTAAGTTTCGTTAAGTCGTTTTCTTTTTCCACTTGAAAAAATCGCCGGATCCCCACCCCCGCGGTATGTGGGAGTTGAACCTCATTAAAAACTCCTGCCGCTCACAACCGGCGCCCTACCTCGGACCGGGCTGAAGCCCAGCCGGGGCTATTGAGACGGCGGGACATCGTTAACTAGTTAGGATCAGTTGGTTTGGTATACAAAAGGACTACGGTAGTCCTCCCTCCTTCTCCTTTTAAAATTACTAACCAAATTAGAAGTCGCACTTCAGCTAATTATTTACGAAAACGAGATTCTGGACAAACAAGTGACACAAGTGACCTGACTTTAATAAGGTTGTACCAATCAACACTAATGACTTGGCTTCGAACTCAAATCTTACAAGGTTTCTATCTAATTAAGGTTTTTGTGGTTGAGCTTCAAGATGCGTATAGTCATTATCATGAAAGTAATTAAATTAGGCTGTTTGCATAACATAGAAGTAGGAGTATCATTTTGTTTATACACGTGACTATTAAGAAATTGGGAGAACAATGTCAGTGTAAAATTCATGGAATATCAAGGGGTTTTCTTGTATCAAAGCCCAGTAATGTATCATATCGAGGGGTGAAAGGCTATTTATTTGATTTAATGACATTTTTGCAACTTTAAAGGGGATCATTTAAAGTTCAAAATTTGATAAACATATCATAACAAATAATCTTCTTCAGCTATTAGAATATGGTGAACATAAATGAAGTTCAATTAAAAAGATCGAACTGCTTATGCTAATACGAAATAAAACGCATCTTTAATAACAAAGATAAATTGTTTACTCTGTTTTTTTTTTTTTTTTTATTTTTTTTTTATTGTTTAGATGGATGGACGAGCTCACAGCCCACCTGATGTTAAGTGGTTACTGGAGCCCATAGACATCTACAACGTAAATGCGCCACCCACCTCGAGACATAAGTTGTAAGGTCTCAGTATAGTTACGACGGCTACCCCACCCTTCGAACCGAAACGCATTACTGCTTCACGGCGGAAATAGGCGGGGTGGTGGTACCTACCCGTGCGGACTCCCAAGAGATCCTACCACCAGTGATTACGCAAATTATAATTTTGCGGGTTTGATTTTTATTACACGATGTTATTCCTTCACCGTGGAAGTCAATCGTGAACATTTATTGAGTACTTATTTCATTAGAAAAATTGGTACTCGCCTGCGGGATTCGAACACCGGTGCATCGCTTCATACGAATGCACGACGTCTTATCCTTTAGGCCACGACGACTTATATGTTTATAATATGTTTATAATAATGTTAATAATGTTAATGTTTATAATAATATGATTTTGTTTCAATTTCAGATACAACCTGGGAGGCCTCTTCAACTGGGCCGTGTCTGAGGACGACAGAAACTCATCTAAACACGTCATCGTTGTAAGTTGGTTTGAAATTAATTGACGTGGTATTTGATTTACTAAATCTAATCAAGTAACTTGCTCCTGTTATATTTTTGTTATTGTTATTTGATTCCAACCTTGACTGTAACAAATGAGTTGATTTTTGCGAAGTATATATCGGTAAACTCTTTCATTACAGCTTGACCAAGGAGGTCTTAATCTACCAACACGAGACAACTACCTGAACAAAACCGCCCATAAGAAGGTCCTAGATGCATATCTAGATTTTATGACTAGGATCTGTGTCCTCTTAGGCGCAAACAAATCCGAGGCTCGTGCCCAAATGAGCAAGGTCATTCAGTTCGAAACAGATTTAGCTAATATTACTACGCCCTCTGAAGACAGAAGAGATGAAGAAGGAATGTATAATCCTTATACAATAAGGCAGTGGCAGAAGGAAGTGTCTTTCTTGAATTGGACCCAGTTTTTTAATGATGCATTTAAGCTTGTCAATCGTACTGTGAGTATATTTTAATACCTATTTTAGAGACCGCGGTAGTAGATTCATTCGCGGAGCAGCTGCCAGCCCGCTGAGTTTCTCGCCGGATCTTCTCAGCGGGTCGCGATTCCGATCCGGTAGTAGATTCATTCGCGAAGCTGTTGCTCTTGAATTGTTAGGTTTCCTTCGGAGGCGCTCGGCGGTTGACAGCTAATCCCACCTCTCCCGGCTGAGGCCTTGCTCGTCCACCTGTCCTGTTCAAACTGGAAAGGTCTCCGGGCAACCAGCAATCCCAAAAAAATAGTTTAGGGTGTTGATATTTCTTTGACAATTAAAATAGATATGAATACGAAATTTATGATTCGAATCAATAATTTACATTAACGCCTTACGCGTCCAATACAACAATGCGTTCAGGGGGTTTTTGGGGCTGCCTCGGTTCTGTAGCGCGTCGGGAATGTTCGCCGAGGCACGAGTCGACTGTTTCTTTACGACCATGCGGAAAAGATGCACATCCCTGATTGGCCGGGTCCGGGTCAGCCCTAACAGCATCCTGAAGGCATTAACAGACCGTTATGACTGTCGGTACTTGAACCATTGTACCATGGTTCACTTGCGGACTAAACAATAATAATAATAATAATGGTTGGTTCGAAGTAAGTATCAGTGGAATGGAATATTTGAAATGTATTTAACTGATAACTACTTTTAAGAAATGTATCTTTTTTATTTGATTGGTTTTGTTAATTTTAAGTATGTTTCAATGATACTATGTACAAATATGGACTTATTGTTGTCTGAAATAAAATAAATCATTCATTCATTCATTAACACGTTTGAATCACTTCAGATTCCAGATACGCAGAGAATTGTCGTTTACGCGCCAGACTACTTCAAGAATTTGACGAGGATCATACAAAAGTACAATAAAACTGAAGAAGACCAGAGGTATGGAATTCTATGAATTCAAAAGATAAAAAAATCTTGAGCCACAAAGTTTGGATATCAGAATCAGAATCGATACATTCTAAGACCCCGATAGAGGATATAATAAAACTTTAAAAATCGATTTAAAAATGCCTTGAGAACCCAAGAAAACTGTGAGACTGTAGACACCCCAACGGGCTATAATTAAAACTAAAAGTATTGTTGCGTCTAGTTCTTAGAAGTGTCTTGAGGTGGCCTGGAAAATGAATAAATGCGTTTACTTCTTCAAATACTAATTATATTGTTTTTAATTATTTTACAAACATAGGTAAATTGACGCGTCCATCTTTTTTCTTCGTGTATTAATTCAAAATTTGACAATTGGTGCCAATGTTATGCGTGCGTTATCTGATATCTCATTGGTTCGTGGGATGTCACATGGGATGGAATTACATATTATATCTTTTCTAATCGAGAAATTATTTGTTCTTTCAGAACGATAACCAGTTACATGATGTGGCAAGTTTCAAGATCTCTCTCCACTTATTTATCGAAGCCTTTTCGGGACGCCACCAAGATTCTTAGGAAGGCGCTTTTCGGATCTGAAGGCACCGAAGAGTCTTGGAGATACTGCGTCACTGACACTAACAATGCTATTGGTAAGTTTTTCATCGCACGTTTATTTCGTACGGTTCAAAACACCGTTACTCTGTGCCAATGTCAAAATAAGGGGCAAGTGAGAAACTTTTTGGCGGGAACGCGAGGAATGAAGTTATGTGATTTGCTTTATTTTGTCTATTTAGTGTATCTTCAGCTTTAAATGTGTAATAGCGGTGGTTTATTAACTTTTTCATATCTGTGATAGTGCACTAATGTGGGAAAATGAAACAAAGCCGCTGGACGTAACTTCTCGGGATCCTCCAAAAAGTCCACTGAAAAAATCTTAGTAAATGACCACCATATTACTGAGATTATATTTTATCCCATATCATCTCATTTCATTTCATTTAATTTCATCCCAGTTGATTAATATCTCAAATTAATCACAATCATCTTCATTTCACTCCATATTATCATCTATCATCTATTAATATAAAAATAAATTGCTGTTCGTTAGTCTCGCTAATAACTCGAGAACGGTTGGACCGATTTGGCTAATTTTGGTCTTGAATTATTTGTGGAAGTCCAGAGAAGGTTTAAGAGGTAGATAAATATTAAAATGCTCGGATTTAAATAAAAATAACAATTTTGTTTTTCTTTCGATGTGTACCCCGTCGGACGGATTCCTTTTGTTTGTTTTAAGTTTATTTTATACAAAAGTTTAGGTCTTTTATCTATCGATTGAGGCAATACGAAGTCTGTGTGGTCAGCTAGTTTTTCATAAAAATAAGAATATAAATTAAAATAAGACATCACCTAAAGGTCTTAGTTAGCAGGTCATAAAATCCCTTAAAAAAAGGGGCGAGTGATTTCAGGTCTCAATTTAAACATTGATATATTTTCAAATGTATGTTTCAAGGTTTCGCGGTTGGAGCCATGTTCGTCCGCGAAGTCTTCCACGGCGAAGCGAAGACCCAGGGAGAAATAATGATTGATAACATCCGTAACGCTTTCAAGGAGAACCTGAGGAATTTGGACTGGATGGACACCGAGACGAGGAAAGCGGCCGAGACGAAGGCTGACGCTATAACTGATATGATCGGTAATGTCTGTTTGAAGGGTAATGAGAACACACGAGCATAAACCTAAATAATAATAATAATAAATCCTCGATACTGCACGCATTGTGAGGAGGTTTCTCACTCTGGAGTCCTAACCACTGGTGGCTTGTGTCGTAGACACCGCCATCACCGGCAATCTATTTTTATATAGTGTTTTTTAAAAATTGTATATTTAATATCTTTTTTTTTAAATATTATGTAATTAATAAGATATAAATATAAATAAATAATAATAAACATTTATTCCAAAGTTACAAAAAATGAAACAAAAATTAAAAGAAAAAGAAAAGGGTGCGTGTACTTATGTACGCGCGTAAGAAGTTATTCTTTATTTTTATTAAATTTTTTTTTTTTTATTTAAATTTTAATCAATTTGAAAAAAAAATCGATTAAACAACGTCCTCAAACACGCATATTGGACATCCCTTTTCTTGAAATCGTATAAATTCGGTAATTCTCGGTACGATTCGGAAAGTTCACCTGCGGCTATATTCAGACTCGCCAAGTTACGTCGGTCGTATTGTAATGAGCGATTTAGTTGGCAGCTTCATTCTGTTAATTTTGTGTCACGGTGCGCGCGCATTGTAAAATTTCACTCTCATCAATTTTTCATAACGCGCCTAAAGAACTTCAAACATAACGACGCTTGGAAAGGGTTACCGGCTCAGCAATGCCTAACAGTACCGAGATAATCGGTACTGCGGCGCTGATCTTCCGCCGGCACCTGCGTAGGGACGTGCACACCAGCATTAGACCGACCAATCACTGTCTGAGCTTAGAATAATAACAACAACAACTACTACAACAACAACAATAAAAACAATGAAATACATACATTAAATTATAAAAAAATACAATTGAAATACACAATTATAGTACGGAATAGTTAAAATTGATATTTTCGAATTTAATTTGCATATTCAGAAGATATACTTTTAAATTTGCTCTAAAAGAACTTAGCGTTCTTTGGTGCCGGATAGGTGGAGGAATATTGTTCCAACATTTAGAAGCCAAGTTTTTTTTTTATTGCTTAAATGGCTTACGTTTGGGATTTCTTTGAATTTGCGCCTTCACAGCTTTTATCACTGCTGGAGTCCTAACAGACCGAGGGCGACCACTTCTTGACCTGTCATCTACACTAGAGTCTTCATTGTATCGTTTGATGGTACGATAAACGAATCTTTTGGTTATATTAAAATTTTTCAGTATGTTAAAAATTTGAATTGGCGTGTAACCGCAACGATGCAACGCAATAACTGCAACACGGTCTACTTTAAGCGTCCACTCCATATTGTAAAAATGAGTAAAATTCTAAAAGTATACATTTTTATTTTCATGAACAGTTCGAAATTCGAATTCAATACACTTTTTTGTGGCCAACATTCTAAAAGAAAAGTTTTTATTGTGTGACAATACTTATGACCTGACTAGTTATAATCTGAATCTCGGAAACGGCTCCAACGATTTTCATAAAATTTAGTATACAGGGAATTTCGGGGGCGATAAATCGATCTAGCTACGATTTATTTTCAGAAAATGGTGTTTTATTCGTGTTTTCAATAATCAACTCTTCCCGACATCTATTGGCGAATAATAATACTACTTTTCTTAATTGAGGGCAACTAACCGCTTTAAAGACACAACAAGATGGCGTTATCAGAAAAAAACCGAGCAAAGCTCAGTTATCATCTGGTAATATTAAGTATAGATATATTTTATCCAGGTTTCCCGGACTACATTCTCCACAAAGACGAACTGAACAAGCAATATGAAGAGTTGGTCGTTAAGCCAAACGAATACTTCGAAAATAACATAGCTTACAACATGTATTCGCTTAAGAACGACCTATTAAAACTGGATAAGCCTGTCAACAAATCGAAATGGGGTGAGACTAATTCCTAATTGTAATCGCGACTCTTTGAAATTTCTCACTTTCCGTCTTAATAGGATACTCCGGAGACTGGATGGCGTGTCAGGGTACGGAGATCACCTACCGGCTTTTGCTGGGCGTATTGAAATGAAAAAATGAATGAAAATTATTTATTTCAGAAACAAGTGCATATGTGTATATATAATCATTGAAATATATTTAAATGTAAGCTGTTTAAGTGTTATTGTATGATCAATATGTACCACCATCCTGCCTCAAATTAGTGCATAGGACAAATCGTGCAAAGAAACAATTATGACTACGATCGCGTATCTCCGGATCCAGCACAACACCGGACTCGATTGATAAAAATGACAAAGTCCACGTGTGCCATATTTTACATTATATTTATTTATTTTTTATGCATCTACAAGAGACCATAGACATCTATAACCTAAATGCCGCCACCCACCTTGTGATCTAAGGTCTCAATATAGTCTCAGCGGTTGCCAGACCATAGACATCTATAATATGATATGAGTTCTAAGGTCTCAAGTACCTATAGTTACAACGGCTGCCCCGCCGAACGGAAACGCATTACTGCTTCACGGTAGAAATAGGCAGGGCGGTGGTACCTACCCGTGCAGATTCGACGTCCTACCACCAGCAATACTTTAACAAAATCCTTTGGATCACACAGGAATGACTCCGTCTACGGTAAACGCTTACTACACTCCCACGAAGAACCAAATAGTGTTTCCGGCCGGGATCCTGCAGTTGCCTTTCTATGATGGGGACAACCCGAAGTGCGTGAACTACGGGGCCATGGGGGTCGTCATGGGACACGAGCTGACCCACGCTTTTGACGATCAAGGAAGAGAATACGACAGGTGAACTTGCGATTACATCCTCCTTCCGTCGATAATCCTCAAGGCTGAGGGTCGTGGCCTCATGAGGTGTTCTTGGGAAAATAAACGTATTGGGGTCCCACGCCCTTCCGNATGAATGAAAATTATTTATTTCAGAAACAAGTGCATATGTGTATATATAATCATTGAAATATATTTAAATGTAAGCTGTTTAAGTGTTATTGTATGATCAATATGTACCACCATCCTGCCTCAAATTAGTGCATAGGACAAATCGTGCAAAGAAACAATTATGACTACGATCGCGTATCTCCGGATCCAGCACAACACCGGACTCGATTGATAAAAATGACAAAGTCCACGTGTGCCATATTTTACATTATATTTATTTATTTTTTATGCATCTACAAGAGACCATAGACATCTATAACCTAAATGCCGCCACCCACCTTGTGATCTAAGGTCTCAATATAGTCTCAGCGGTTGCCAGACCATAGACATCTATAATATGATATGAGTTCTAAGGTCTCAAGTACCTATAGTTACAACGGCTGCCCCGCCGAACGGAAACGCATTACTGCTTCACGGTAGAAATAGGCAGGGCGGTGGTACCTACCCGTGCAGATTCGACGTCCTACCACCAGCAATACTTTAACAAAATCCTTTGGATCACACAGGAATGACTCCGTCTACGGTAAACGCTTACTACACTCCCACGAAGAACCAAATAGTGTTTCCGGCCGGGATCCTGCAGTTGCCTTTCTATGATGGGGACAACCCGAAGTGCGTGAACTACGGGGCCATGGGGGTCGTCATGGGACACGAGCTGACCCACGCTTTTGACGATCAAGGAAGAGAATACGACAGGTGAACTTGCGATTACATCCTCCTTCCGTCGATAATCCTCAAGGCTGAGGGTCGTGGCCTCATGAGGTGTTCTTGGGAAAATAAACGTATTGGGGTCCCACGCCCTTCCGGTTCTTTTGGAAGAGATTTAGTTCTTCGAGGCCGCTGAAGCCTTAAAACCTTGCGATGACATATTTCTCCTCAAATATATACACACATTTGTATAATGGTTATTGTATAATTGTACGGAAACATGACGGATACGTATTCTGTTCATCCAGCATTTGATGACAAAACGGAATGTCATAATTTACCGGATCGTTTTTTTTTTTACTGTATACTGAATACTGTACCATATGTGAAGTCGCTCATACAACCCCATGCTTCATCGATGAAAAAAAGCGTATTCGACAAAACGGAGACCACGTGTGAACGGGCTCGAACGGATAAGACGTTCGGTACATTCGTATCGAGCGATGCCACTGTGTGCGTTCGTTTGTGTTCGAATCACGTATACAGACACAATTTTTTAATTTTAGTATAATAAAATAGGAATTTAATATGTACATACACATTCACGAATGAAACAACTTGTGTGCTTACTGCGAGTTTTTTAACGTTCTCGATAGCGTAAAAGTTAGCTCATATTTGTATTGAACGGGATCATTTGCCTACGTTTGCCGCTAGGGGCGCTGTTCCAAGTGCATACAAAATTGGGTTAACTTTTACGCTATTTTACGTTAAAAAACTCGCACTAAGCACATTGGTGTCTACTTGTAACCGGAGTTCATAGATATCGCAAAGTAAATACGCTCCGCTCGGGTATTTCGATCAGTAAAATTATTAGCTATTAATCGATTACTAGTGACCCCGCAGTAGTCGAGATTCGATTATAATTAATTGAAATTATAAGTTTAAATATTATTATGGTTCTATTGTCAAACATTTCGATAATATAATCACAGTATTCGCCAAAACTGCACTATATATCAATAATATTAAAGACAAACAATATTAATCTATTTTCAATTCGACCGTAACAACAATNGTCCTACCACCAGCAATACTTTAACAAAATCCTTTGGATCACACAGGAATGACTCCGTCTACGGTAAACGCTTACTACACTCCCACGAAGAACCAAATAGTGTTTCCGGCCGGGATCCTGCAGTTGCCTTTCTATGATGGGGACAACCCGAAGTGCGTGAACTACGGGGCCATGGGGGTCGTCATGGGACACGAGCTGACCCACGCTTTTGACGATCAAGGAAGAGAATACGACAGGTGAACTTGCGATTACATCCTCCTTCCGTCGATAATCCTCAAGGCTGAGGGTCGTGGCCTCATGAGGTGTTCTTGGGAAAATAAACGTATTGGGGTCCCACGCCCTTCCGGTTCTTTTGGAAGAGATTTAGTTCTTCGAGGCCGCTGAAGCCTTAAAACCTTGCGATGACATATTTCTCCTCAAATATATACACACATTTGTATAATGGTTATTGTATAATTGTACGGAAACATGACGGATACGTATTCTGTTCATCCAGCATTTGATGACAAAACGGAATGTCATAATTTACCGGATCGTTTTTTTTTTTACTGTATACTGAATACTGTACCATATGTGAAGTCGCTCATACAACCCCATGCTTCATCGATGAAAAAAAGCGTATTCGACAAAACGGAGACCACGTGTGAACGGGCTCGAACGGATAAGACGTTCGGTACATTCGTATCGAGCGATGCCACTGTGTGCGTTCGTTTGTGTTCGAATCACGTATACAGACACAATTTTTTAATTTTAGTATAATAAAATAGGAATTTAATATGTACATACACATTCACGAATGAAACAACTTGTGTGCTTACTGCGAGTTTTTTAACGTTCTCGATAGCGTAAAAGTTAGCTCATATTTGTATTGAACGGGATCATTTGCCTACGTTTGCCGCTAGGGGCGCTGTTCCAAGTGCATACAAAATTGGGTTAACTTTTACGCTATTTTACGTTAAAAAACTCGCACTAAGCACATTGGTGTCTACTTGTAACCGGAGTTCATAGATATCGCAAAGTAAATACGCTCCGCTCGGGTATTTCGATCAGTAAAATTATTAGCTATTAATCGATTACTAGTGACCCCGCAGTAGTCGAGATTCGATTATAATTAATTGAAATTATAAGTTTAAATATTATTATGGTTCTATTGTCAAACATTTCGATAATATAATCACAGTATTCGCCAAAACTGCACTATATATCAATAATATTAAAGACAAACAATATTAATCTATTTTCAATTCGACCGTAACAACAACAATAACCAAAGAGTCTATTTTTATGTATGTGTTGTGTCAAATACATGGTAGTGTGTGTAATGTTTTCTTTATTGATTTAAAGTATCTTTTATGCATTATTTTATAAAAATATTAGCATTGTGCACTCCCTCTATATATTCTCTATAAGTGTGAGAAACTTCTTAATCCTCCGTCCACGCAATTTTCGTAAAAAGGGGTACAACGTTTTTGCTTCACGTATTAATATATATCGATTATTACAGATTTGGCAACTTGAACCAGTGGTGGAACGACGCGACGATTGCGAAATTCAAAAAGCGCGCCGAATGCATCCGAGAACAATATTCGGAATATACAATGGACGGACATCATCTAAACGGGAAACAAACATTAGGTACATATTTCGATTTAATTATAAATTACTAGATGACTTCGTAGTGCCTCAATCGATAAATAAAATACCTAAACTTTTGTATGAAAGAAACTTAAAACAAACAAAGGGAATCCGTCCGACGGGGGACACATCAAAGGGAAAACAAAATTATTATTTTTATTTAATTCCCAGCATTGTCATATTTATCTACCTTTTAAACCTTCTCTGGATTTCCACAAACAATTCAAGACCAAAATTAGCCAAATCGGTCCAGCCGTTCTCGAGTTTTAGCGAGACTAACGAACAGCAATTCATTTATATATATATATATATATATAGATTTAAAGACGTAACTAGCAAAGTTATAGGACGTGGTTCGTAGTAATCTAATAGTTATAATAAATATCACAATTTCGAATTTGTATAGGTTACATATAAACGATAAGAAAACTAAATATTTTTTAAATTAATCATTTATCAAATTGTTAAAATGTTAAAATGAAACAATAAATCGTGGCCTTTAATGTTTGATGTTTATTTAAATTATAAAAAATGTACATACATAATACGAGATTAAATACTTTTTTGAGACTATGAAATAATTGTCGATTTTAATCAACATTTTGACAGATAGACGACCGAACGACATAAAATGGCCGTCGCCTTATGCCTTAAGTATGTCATTTTGGATCCTTCAGATCTACTCTCTGTGCTTTTAGTCATTCCAAGGGCTGGTATGTAACCGTTCTAGCCGAACACGTCGAAAAACGGTTCGATGTGTAACCAAACCTTCAAACACAGCCCACTGAGTTTCTCGTCGGATTTTCTCAGTGGGTTGCCATATCAAATCCGCGCGTAGTCGGAATAGCCCCTTAGCCTACCAACGATTAGACGAGGAAAAAAAACTCGGGTAAAAATTCAAAAGTGTCAATATCAAATGGTCAGCTAGTTACATAGACCCAGGTTTCATACTTCAGTGGTTAGTTATGATTTCAACGTTTCACAACAATGAACAAAGAATAAATACTTTTTTTCTTACAGGGGAGAACATAGCCGACAACGGTGGCCTCAAAGCGTCTTTCCACGCTTATCTGGACTACACCAAGAAAGCATCAGTTAACCTAACACTGCCGGGACTAAAATACAACGATAGACAACTTTTCTTTATTTCTTTTGCACAGGTAATTTTTTATTAAAACATGCAACATTATGAAATATTAAATTTATTAGGACTTTTTGGCGGGAACGCGAGGAGTGAAGTTGTGTGATTTGTTTTATTTTGTCTATTTAGTGTTTCTTCGGGTTTAAATGTGTAATAATGGTGGTTTATGAACTGTTTAATATCTGTGAAAGTACACAAATGTGGGAAAATGAAACAAAGCCGCTGGACGTAACTTCTCGGGATCCTCCAAAAAGTCCGCTGAAAAAATCTTAGTAAATGACCACCATTTTACTGAGATTATATATTTCATCCCATATCATCTCAATTCATTTCATTTAATTTCATCCTAGTTGATTAGTGTCTCAAATTAATCATCTTCATTTCATTTCACTCCATAATATCATTTTTCATAAAAATATGAATAACATAAATTAAAATAAGACATGACTTAAAGGTCTCAGTTACCAGGTCATAAAATCTCTTAAAAAAAAATTTAAATTTATTACTTTGTCGAGATTATTACTGTTTTTATTTTGTTTATAATGCGATAAGAAGGAAAGGTCTCGTGGATGAATTATTCGTTGTGTACTTTTTTATGTACTAAGTTTAATACATAAACTACTTTAAATAAACTACGCATATAAACAATTTTTTCACGTAGGTACTAAAGTAAATCGGGCTCGATTTGATAATGAGTAGGTACTTACTTAGTCGATTTGTTCTTGAGTCGTTACCGATGACTACAATTCTAGCAGCGACTCGTCGTAAAGTATGTCGCCAGCTTCGGTTTCGAAGATTATTCCTAATAGAATGAATTCGTTATACCTATACTTGAGACCTTAGAACTCATATCTCAAGGTGGGTGGCGCATTTACGTTGTAGATGTCTATGGGCTCCAGTAACCTCTTAACACCAGGTGGGCTGTGGGCTCGTCCACCCATATAAGCAATAAAAAAATAGATCATGCCTAGCCAACGGTTTTTATGCAATATTTTGATTTTTTAATATTAGGTGTGATAAATATTCTAGTACACATTCGAAAAGTGTGACGTAATTACATATAATGACGTTAAAAGGAAACGAAAAATGTGTAAGGGTTCAGATATTGTTATAAAAGGAAACAATAAAGTTTACTTTGCAAGTGACGTGATTTTAATAATTTTCAGGTATGGTGCTCGGCAATGACTAAAGAATCAACGAAAATGCAAATTGAGAAGGACGATCATACAGTTGCCAAATATCGAGTTATAGGACCAATAGCAAACCTAAAGGAGTTCTCCGACGAATTTCACTGTCCAATTGGTTCGAAAATGAATCCAACACATAAATGTGAAGTTTGGTAATTAATTTAAAATCGGTTTAGTTTCGAGCTTGTTTGACAGTTCTATGTATATCGATCATAGCGCCATTTTAACAAAGTGCTGGTTGCATTGACAGTGACAGAATTGAATAGAAAATTAGGCCGTACGTACACACTACGACTGGTACCTAACCGGTTTGTTTCTTGATGTACACGAAGTCGATGTCGCTTAACACTCAATTAAAAAATCATCAGTGTATTGATGTTGGTACAGACGGAAGGTGTGCACTTTAGTATAATATATTTGTCAACGACGAAAACTTGAAAGTATTCGAATATAAAATTCATTGTATTTGATTGCAACATTTGCTTTTGTTCATAGAAGTTTTAGTACATATTTTTAAGTTCAGTATAGTAAATTGATTAATTTGCTAAAGTGTATGTTACATTCAAACTTATATTTTATGCCTTTCAACTAATGTATCAAGCGTATATATGTCCTATTAATACTAATAGATATAAGAATTTGTTATTACAATTCCCGAATAAGGATGAACAATGTTGACACAATTGTATGTGATTTGCGTATTATTAGAACTTACTGGCGATTATATTATCATTATTTATTGTTTAAGACGCAAGTAACGCATTGTATCGTAACTATGTAATTGAAAAAAATAAACTTGATGTTGGATAAATGTTATAGATAGATGCAAATCAACAAATGACAGCTACCACAATCTCCATCTGCTGCACTGTTTTGTCCAGAGTTCTCACGTTACAAACTTTATAACATTAATTGCAATTGTAAATTTAAACTACAATTTGTATTGGCTGAGAGAATTAAATATATACTTTATTTTTGTGAAAGATAGTCGCCCAAGTTTGCTTTAAAAATATTGTTAAGTAGATTAGTCGAATTTCACATAATTTAGATCACATAATTAATATTAATGTTCAAGAGTCCATTGATGTGCCAAGATACTTAATTCATGATTAACTTCAGAAATTCAAGGCCGGTTATTTAATTGTCATTTAGTAAATTTTATTGAGGTTAATGCTGTTTTTTTTCTTATAAATTTCAACCGTAGTATTTAGTTAAACTTACCCTAGTTATTGTGTACTTAATTTAGTTCGATTTAGTTTTAGTGCCATTATATTTAAAGGTCGTCAATGTATGTTTAAAATGTGTGTTTTAAATCATTGACAAAGTGCTGGTCATTTTCAATTTATTTACATTTGGTTTTAAGATTATGCATTAATCGATGTAAGGGTGTTTTTATCGGTATTTGCATATTTTGGATCATGTAGATTTTCATTTAAGGATTGCGAAGATCAAATATGAGTTTTTAAAATTAATAATTTATATGTAGTAAACTAGAATGCATTAAGGGACCAGCAAGCTAATCAATGAATTGGTTTTTTTAAATAAGCTCTGGTACAAATAATATTTTTCTTAAAGTCTACCTTTATCTTATAAGTAAAAAAATAGCTGAATACAATATTTAAGAATTGTTCTAAACGTTTACATATTTTCAAATCGTCGTTTATCTAAATGTTGCTTTACTTTAAAGTTTTACATAATCGTATGAGTTTTAATTTAAAACTTATTCGAAGTAAGCTGTATCTTTTTAATAGCTTCATTCAATTCTTAATAGGCTAACAGACTTAAAAGTGACAATAAATTTGGTGTCCACAATTCCCTTGTTCATATATCCCAATAAAAACTCGTAATTCATCACATTCATGTCCCTGCATTACTTAATATAAACTTTTAAAGTAAACACTACTTTGCTATAGTACCTACCACTTAAGGAAATTATATAGTACAGTAGGTACATATTATCGTATTTAGTGCATAATGTTAGCTGTATATTTGTTTAAAGATTATTGCTTGTGAATGTTTAAATTTATATAGATGTTGTGGTTATTTGAAATCAATTATTATCCATCGTAGTTTCCTTTGGTAACTGCTATAATTGCATAAAATATTAAGTTGATTTCTAAAATAGCACTCATTGACCTTACATATTATATTTATTTTTTTATTTCCAAGTGTAATACATTATAAATAGCTAATGGAATACAAATATACACATTAATTTTAACGGTACAACTTGGGTCAAACCAAATCTTAAAATATGAAATGTATTTTTTTTAATTAATGTTCAGTATTATAAGATAATTTTCAAAATCTCTATACAATAGAGAAGTTTACCAGTATTATGCTTAATAATATCATAGAATATATTTTGTAACAATGTTATGTTTTATGTAGGTACATAATAATATTATTTAATATTTAATTTATCCATACAATTTTTTGACTGAATAATGTTTATTTGTGCTGTTTAAATGTGAATAAAGTTTGTTTTCATCGTATTAAAAAGTGTTTTGTTATTTGCAAATGACAAAAATAATAGGGGTTAAAAGTATCAAATTGCCCTTTTATTGTAATAGGTACTTCGAATTGACAAAGAACCTTCATGGTTTGATATTTTTGAAACTTTTTTTAAGCGGTACAGCCCCGATTCATGAATCGATCTTTACCATTATTGCTCCATGATAACGCGAGACCTCATACAGCACGAGAAACTGTTTTAACCAATGACGTTTTAACTCTAGAGGAACTGCAATTAAAAACCATTCGTATTCGTCAGACCTTGCTCCAACGGATTACTATTTTTTTCGTGATTTGGACAATTCTCTACGTTATTATTCTAGATTCACCGAACTAAGAGGTGAGCTCACGGGGCTCAAACCTGACATCGTTGCTAACACTAGCTCTAGCAAGAATCTATCATCGGATAGGAAACGCGACCCACTGAGAAGATTCGGCGAGAAACTTATGGGCTGTGTCTGTGGGTTAATTTACTCGCCGAGCCCTTCGTCGCAAGCGACGGGTTCGACGAGAACGACCATAGATCTGCACTTTATTTTCGAAAAGCTTACGATTATATATTTTTAGTATGTGGTCAACCAAATTTCATCAAAACATAGTCTGAGAAAAACAGATTCAAAGTTTTTTTTCGGACAGTTCAATTTATGATCACATTTTTTTTAAGGCTTACATCATGACATGATATTAATTCCTCAAGGGTGCATTTTCGGTATCGTGTATCGGCGAAGTTGTGTGTTTCGTAACGGTTTCTTAAAATACTGTGTCTTCGTAAATACGTCATTACGGATCCGATCCATTAACGGTGCTTTTAGGCACCACAAGCACCGGTCACCGTCCTCGTCGAACCCGTCGCTTGCGACGAAGGGCTCGACGAGCGAATTAACCCATAGACACAGCCCACTGAGTTTCTCGCCGGATCTTCTCAGTGGGTCGCGTTTCTGATCCGGTGGTAGATTCTGCGAAGCACTACTTTTGCTAGGGTCAATGTTAGCAACACTCCGGTTTGAGCCCCGTGAGCTCACCTACACGCGTTAGGGTGAAGCTGAAATAGCCTATCAAGGCTATCAGCATAGGTAGGGAAAAAAAACACGTTAATATTACAAATTTCTTTACAACATGGGGCTAAAGCATTCTTAACAAATACATCTTTCAGATACTCAGCCGTTTTTTATTGTGTATATTTAATTGACGTTAAGATCGATTTGTTTCTAATTTGGTAATATCAATCTGACATCTGTCATTCATAACACCTTTATTATAACAACTGATAAAAATGTTAAAAACATTGCCTCTGCGAAGCTGACAGTGTACGACATGCCTAAGTTTAGCGGCTATATTGCTGAAAAGGTGAGTTCGAAAATCAAAATGGCGGAAATAGCGCATTGATGCGCTCTCAATGCTTCATTCTCATCTCAGTCACAGTGAATCTGAAGTGTGTTGTGGTTTTTAAACAAGAAAAACCTATGCTGAAATTAATAATAATTAAATTGTAGGCTACAAATGTCATTTGACATAATCGATTGCCTTAAATTTTGAATTCGTAAGTGAGTTAAGTGTTATTGATATTTCGATTTACGTCTTCGGCCGAGAGTCAATGATAGGGCAAAAATGCCAGTGATAAAGTTTTAATTTTTATGTATAATTTTAATTTAATTTTATACATGAAAAATGAACACGAGCAATAGATCATTTATTTTGTAGTTTTTAGTTTTCTTTTTAACAATTTGCAAAGCAAAATTGTCAGAGCGTTTTAAAAGTCGTGTACTTTGTAGACATCCTACAACCCCAGTAACATAAGGTAATAAATAAAAAATACTCATGTACTTTGAAGATGTCTACATAGTTAATTATTTAAAAAAAAAAACAAATAAACGTACGTATTACCTTAGTTACTTATATAAAGTTGCTTTGCAATTTTCTAAATCTTGATTTATAAATTCAATCTTTTTTTAACTTTCCAAGCAATGCACTAAATTAGTTCACATTGAAATTAACAAGGTGTGTCACCATTTTCAAACTTATTTGGACCCATAACCAGCAACTATAAAAATCATATTAATCTATTGCTCTACATCAACGAACCAACAAAATTGGATCTTTGAGTAGCTCTGTAGTTGGTGACCCTCAGTACTATATTACTGAGGATAGATAAATTCTGTTGGAGGCAATATCATTGTTCTTTACTTCAAGATTATTGGTATTCAGGGCTTGGGTAACCTTATTCATGCCTTGTGGCTGTGGTTCCATACTGGAATTCCATTCCATAATAAAGTTTTTGTAAGATCGCAAAAAATAATAAAATGAATAATTATGCTAATGAGTAACTCTATAGAACAACTGTTTTTTAATTTTCAAATTGCGAATTTATTTTCAGATAAAATATGGAGCAAGTTGTAATAAAGACTGAAGTACAAAACAATGGAGAAATACTATTGTTTTATGTTGATGGTAAGTTTTAGCAGAACAGCTTAAGCATATTACAATTCCGTCTTGACAATTATTATCCTGTTATAAGCATAATGTAGTCGAGAAGTTCATTTTCATTAGCCGGTGGTAACAAGTTGAACCAAACTTTACTGTCGCCCAGAGAATATTAAAACTTCCAAATGTGTACACAGTTAATAAACAGTAAATGTGATGCTCTCAACAAACTATGTCCAGTTAAGTTAGTTGATTAGCACTATATCAGCTAATCAACGAAGTCAGCCAACTACTTTGGGCTGCTGACGGTTACTCTAGTACACTAGAGTGGTGAATGAATGACTCTTGTTTTTCCACCTTATAAGCTCTGCAGATACAACTGTCTGTAAAGCCCACAGTATATAAGTGTATGGCATGAATGCACTGTTTGCCTACTATGGTATTCTGCTTTATAATAATGCACAGTTTTGCTTCTGTTACTTTACTCATGTTACATTACATGTGACTAAACTTTTTGATAGCAAATAAAACCAACAGATTTGTTATTATTTAACGCTTTCAACTCCATGAAGGATAGAATGTGTCCACAGCATACGTTCTCCTAGGGCCAATATATAATTATATCAAGAATTCTCCAAAAATCTATTGAAGTGTTTTTTCGCAAATATTGCAAAGAAATTACTCATAAATAATGGGTGACTCACGGAAACAGTGCCTACTCATTATTTTCTGGCATTTTTACATAATCATTTCTGATTTAAAAATGTTTTGACTTGTAATAGTTTAAATGCATTGTGCATGCTATACCGACAGCACTTATTTCACCAATTTTTTTTTATTTTTTTTATTGCTTAGATGTTTGGACGAGCTCACAGCCCACCCGGTGCTAAGTGGCTACTGGAGCCCATATACATCTTGAATGTAAATGCGCCACCCACCTTGAGATATAAATTCTAAGGTCTCAAGTATAATTACAATGGCTGCCCCGCCCTTCAAACCGAAACGCATTACTGCTTCACGGCAGAAATAGGCAGAGTGGTGGTACCCACCCGCGCGGACTCACAAGAGGTCCTACCACCAGTCCTACCAATTCTAAGGAATTATGAAATATGGTGTACCTATTATTCTTGGTATTCGCCTATTTATTTATTCCTGTTCATTATGATTCACGTTTATACTTAAACTCGTAAATTGTCCTTGTATTTGTAATTGTTGAGGATATGTGATAATTAAAATATTATTAATTTTGCAGAAAATGGGGGCACCGAACAAAGTATTCTAACAACAGTTGAGAGTATAGAAAATTCAGGTATAGATTTACAAAATATCAACCCATACGCCACTGAAGTTCATTTTGATGAAACTCCATTTGAAATAAGTCAATCAAACAAATTGACTTTTCCATTAGAAAACTGGACGGATGAAGAAATTCATCGACTTCTTGTCTTCTACAATGATAATAAGCAAGCTTTCGTCACAGGGTCCACAAAGAGGATCCATCTTTGGACTATAGCTTGTAAGACCATGATCTTCAACAAGACTCCGATATCATGTGACCGCAAGCTTAAGTTTCTAAAGGATTCCTATGTTCAAGTGTGCCGAACAAGAACTCAGCAAGGAATGTCTATGGAAATCATAGATTTATGTCATCAAGCATTTGGTGATGACCCAGAAATACATTCAATATTAAGTCAAGAAGAAAAGGTTAGGCCACAGCCAACTCGGGTTGAAGATAGTAGTCTAGTTTTAAAAAAGTTGACCACCAACAAACCTGAACAGAAAGTGGAAAAAATGCTACAATTGTATTTAAAATATAAAAAACAGTTTCAACAAGAACATTATACTAGGAGTCTTTGGGACAATATAGCAATGCAATTAGGTGAAGATGATGGAGTTTTTTGGCAGAAACGTTTCATGAATTACAAACAGCACTACATTGGTTTATTAGAGAAGAAAATGCAGGGTATTGTTGAATTCAATTGGCCCTATATGGCATTATATGACAAAATATTTAAAGACGACATTGAATTTCGTAGGAAATATCCATTTTCTGATGATTCAAACACAAGTAATGAAACATTAACACAACATCACAACATTTGGTTTGAAACCGAGAAAGTTGTTTTGATAAAACATCAATACGATTGTTTTGATGATTTTCAAGATCCAAAGATACCAAAAGGCTTTCTGTGGAACGAAATCAGCAGATTGTTGGACAAACCAGCTGATCTATGTAAAAAGAAAGTTCTGGATCTCAAGAAGGAACATTACATAAAATATGAAGATAACTATGACCTATCCAGTCGAAAACCTCTAGAAATACTATTAGACTATGTTATATGTAAAGATATTGAATGTGAAATTAGAAAAACCAAAAACGATTCGGACACATTTGAGATTTACAAGTCAGAAGAGGTCGATGAAATTGTACAATTCATATATGACAATACAGAGATATTCAAAGATCCAATATGTCATTTTGTTTGCTTCGGAGTCATAGCTAAAAACTTAAAAAGGAAAGTGGGTAGTGTTAAAAGAAAATGGCAAGAACTTGTGACTTTGTATAAAATTATTTTGGAAGATAAAAAAGAAAATCCAGATATGCAGATAGATTGGAGGTATATAGAGCTGTTTGATAGGATCTTTGCTTACGGAATGGACACTAAATTGCTGGAGGGTTATGAGAAAACTGATAATAATATAAGCCATGGTTAGTGTATTGTGTTTATTGAAAAAAAAAAAAAAAACCGTGAAATCACCTTCACATTCCGCTGTTCGGTGATGGATCAGATTTAATCCTCAGACATCAGATTGAAGCATTAATTATATCGTATCTGTGCCACCCTTTAAATTGAAATGTAAGAAATAGGAAGATAGCAGTTCCTACCCGTATGGGCTTAGAATACCACCATTAATCATACACATACACTTTTCGAGATAGAACTCATTCCTGAACTTGTATCAACAAGTTTTATCTCTTTATGCACTATACACCGATTGTGTTATCTTTTAGGCCACAATCACTTCATTTTTATTTTGGCTTTGTGTTAATTTATGAATTAGATAGTTTAGCTAGCTAATTTTAAATTTTGTATCCCTTACAAGTTTAAGAATACTTGAAAAACTGAATTGCACACATAAACTCACGTTGTTAGGAACCATAATTTTGATGTTTCACATTGTAGTTTTTTTATATAAATTACTTAGGACCACTTTTAGGATCTCATTTAGGAAATTACGCACAGATCAGCTATAAAATTAACAAAAACGTAAAAATGTAGATTTATCTCAATAAAGAAAGTTAGACTCACACTTTATTCTATTTGCTTTTGTGATGTAAAAATGATTTAAAGTCTCTATTGATATAAATTTTACAGATAAAAAGCAAGCAAGCATAGAAAAAGACACGAACGGAACCGATTATGAATCAAATGATGAGATTAATACAAAAAAATCGAAACATTTAGGAGAATCAAAAGCATTTAAGATTCTGGGATACTACCTCAAGAACAAGCTTAAATTTCAAAAGACGACGAATAAAAACAAGAACAGCTTATGGAACGTTCTGGCACCGCGGCTCGGCATTACTGCTACGCAGTGCGCACACAGATTCCGAAATCTAAAACAGGTTTACACAGCGTATGTACAAAGGGAAATAAGTAAGCCAGAAATGCCAATAATGTGGCCATATTACACACTTTGCAAGAAAGTATTTGGTTATAGAGCATTGAAAACTAAACTAAAAAATGGCAAAAATAACTCGGACACCGAAGATTGGTCGCCGAAAGAGATAAAATTGCTTATAAATTTCTTTTCGAAGAATTTCCATGACATTACCAATAACATTGATGATGCTAGTCATTGGCGTCCCATTGCTGCAGAAATAGATAAGACTACAAACTCTTGTAAGGATAAATTCTTGGAATTGAGAAAGTCATACAGAAAACTCAAGACCCAAATTTCCAGGAATCCCAATGTGAAAATCTCATGGAAATACTTTAAGATGTTCGAAGATATTTATAATTCGAATCGCGAGGGTGAAATGGAGGTTGATGATAATCATGAAGGTATGTAAAAAAAAAATGTAATTTAAGGTCACGAGATATACAATTTTGTGCTCATTAAATTACTATGATATGATTTCCATGTGCAATTTGTATTATATTTCAATAAAAAGAAAACGCATATTTTTTTATGAAAATTTGATAACTCTTAAAATAAATAATTGTAAATTCATTTCTTCAAAAGTGTTTTTGTCCTAATGGGGATGTATAATAATTTTTTTGGAGAGTTCAATTACATTAATGTACAAATTAATACTCAAATTATTTGCAGACGAAGATTACGAATGTATCATAGTCTTACCTGAAGGAGCTGATATATCAGATATTGAAAATTCTCAAATGATGATACAAGAAAACTCTGAAAACGGTGAAAATGTACAAGAAGAAGAAAATATTGCACAAGAAGAAGAAAACATTGCACAAGAAGAAGAAAACATTGCACAAGAAGAAGAAGACATTGTCCAAGAAGAAGAAAACATTGCCCAAGAAGAAGAAACCATTATGCAAGAACAAGAAACTACGGAACCTATGGATGTAACTGAACCAACGCAAGAGAACTCTGAAATGATTTCAATAGCCATAGACATTCAAGCTATATTGGATGACACCGATTCACAACCAGCCATACAAGACACGCCTAAAACAATAAAGAAGTGGACGAAGAAGTCCAAGAGGCGTTTGTTAATATTGTACATAAATTATATCCGATCGAACAAAGGAAAAGAGATCAATACTAAAGATATGTGGCGGGATATTGGCAAGAAGCTAGACCGACGTCCAATAATATGCAAGAAAATGCTGGCTAAACTCAAGAATAGATATCTGAAGAACAAAAGTGATAGCACAAAAGATCCTCTCTCTGATCTACTTGAGAAATTAATCAAATTGAAGCCGAAATTTGTAAAGAATAGAGTTTATAACGACGTCTCCGTACCAGCTGACAAAGTGACGAAGGCGTTGAACTATTATTTGCAGTACATTGAAGATTTTTCAAATCCGAAATTCGACAAACGCTTCCTATGGACGGAATTGGCCAATCACGTTTCTGAACCCGTCCCGAAGATCATCAGCAAGATAAATTATTTGAAACAGGCATATAATGACGATTATATAACGGAGGAAAACGCGCAGTTCATTGAAATTTTAAAAGAGATAATCGCTAAAGAAATCGCTATTAATTTGGTTACAGAGATAGAAGTGAAAAGTAATTTAGACTATACGGAGAGTCCTTGGTCCGAAACAGATGTAGAACAGCTGTTAGAGTGGTATTTGAGTAATCTAGATAAGTTTAAACACCCGAAATATGTGCGCTCGTATCTATGGAAGGAGGCTTCGGAAATTATGAAACGTAGTCCACTAGATTGTTCTAGAAAAATGTCTGAAATCCGTTCGCAGTACCGTAGTCTGGTGAAGCAGGACGACCCTGAACTGGCCACTTGGAAGTTCCAAGCTTTGTGCCAGAAAATTTATGGCACAGGAAAGAAAGGCAATAATACTGTGAATAATTTATAAGTTCTCTGGTTTATTTTTCATTGTAACATATAACATTATTTATTATGCTAAGTATTAGTGATAGTGGAATAAATGATATTTAAAAATGTGTTTTTTGTTGACCGTACAAGATGAAGGTGGCGCTGTCACGTTTTAGAGTATATTCAGGACGCGAAAAATCTTTGTTAAATACTAGTGTTTAAAAAATAGTTTTGCTTTTATTTATTGTTATATTAGTATTGGTGGTAGCCCATGGGCCTATTCCAGCTAATGCTACAACTGTAACTAACACTAGCCCTAACAACAGCAGTGTTTCGCAGAATCTACCATCGGATCGGAACAGCGACCCAATGAGAAAATCCGGCGCTGTGCCTATGTGGATCTACCCTCAAAAATAGCACTTTTTAAACTACCCTCTCTTTTTATGACGTCATGTTTATAAATTTAACCTTCATCGTTTGGGTAGTTAACAAATGAATTCGCTTTCTTTTTCTAAAATTAGTATTATTTATCTTTTTTTTTATTGCTTAGATTGGTCGATGGGCTCACGGCCCACGTGGTGTTAAATGGTCACCGGCGACCATGGACATCTGCAATTTTTTTAATTTTGTACGGTATCTATAAAACATTTACGTAAAACAGGTTTACTAAATTGCAAAGAAAATTATAATAGCATTAACAAAAAAGAGAATGTAATGCACATGCGTCCGTAATTATAGTAGACTTTAAATTATTGCTCATCCATCTAGAAGTCATAAATAATTAATTAACGATAACCTAAGACAAAAAGATGTGTGGTGTCATGGGACACCGGACAGGAACGAATTTCCATAATATAAAAATATTAATTTTAAGTTATATTCGAGGTATAAAGAAAATAATTATTCGGGTATACATTTTTTATTGATAACAATAAAAAAACTACATTATCAACTTCATTTTATTCACAATGATTTATCAAAAATAAATATAAATAATATACAAAGAAAGCTATTTATGTGAATAATAATAATGACCGTCAGCATGTAGACTATACATTAGACACTATAGCCATTAATTATACTAAGACTATACATAAATAATAAAAATCTTCTGCTGTTCGTTCCAACAAGGATTGCTGCCTGATTTTTTTAATTGCAAACAAAATCTTTGTACGCCGACCAAATGATTTCAATGCTGTTTTTTTGTGGCTCACCANAAAATCTTCTGCTGTTCGTTCCAACAAGGATTGCTGCCTGATTTTTTTAATTGCAAACAAAATCTTTGTACGCCGACCAAATGATTTCAATGCTGTTTTTTTGTGGCTCACCAAATTTTATAATTGCTAAACATTTCATTACTTCTCTATTATTATTGTGTGACATTCATATTATAATATAATACAGATGTTAGATGCGATAGTAACTGTTGCACTCATTCCATAATTTCAACAGTCTAAGTTGTTCCCATAAAAATTGATAGATGGCAGTAGTATCTCTAAAAATAAAAGTATCGTGACAACTTTTTGTAAGAATTTTTTCCGTCTAGCCCACTTTCACAACGCGCGATAAGGAAATTCGTTCCAAAATTATATTATTTCGATGATGTCTAAGATACGTTTTGTCAATTGACGTAAGGGCATATAAATGAATGGCTCGCCTTGGGTTAAGTGGCAATGTGAGGAGCCCATAATGAGATATGAGATTGAAACTTGAGATTTCACTGAATACTTCGCCGCAGAAGTAAAAGCCGTCGTGTCCTAAAGGATAAGACGTCCGGTGACCGGTGCATTCGTATCTAGCGATGCAACGGTGTTCGAATCCCGCAGGCGGGTACTAATTTTTCTAATGAAATACGTACTTAACAAATGTTCACGATTGACTTCTACTGTGAAGGAATAACACCGTGTAATAAAAATCAAAAACCTGCAAAGTTATACTTTGCGTAATTACTAGTGGTAGGACCTCTTATGAGTCCGCACGGGTAGGTACCACCACCCTGCCTATTTCTGCCGTGAAGCAGTAATGCGTTTCGGTTCGAAGAGTGGGGTAGCCGTTGTAACTATACTGAGACCTTAGAACTCATATCTTAAGGTGGGTGGCGGCATTTACGTTGTAGATGTCTATGGGCTCCAGTAACCACTTAACACCAGGTGGGTTGTGAGCTCATCCACCCATGTAAGCAATTAAAAAAAAGTTTGACTTCGAAAAAACAGGTGCAAGACGTTATGTCAGTTATATCAATCTTTGTAATTCCCTATGTACCTATATAAATAAAAAGTATGGTATCGACAAACGAAGAACACTGCTCATGCGTTACCTCGTAAAATAAATCGGGTAGAATTCTGACTGTTTCATGATTATCTATTGGCATACCAAAAAATTACCTTGAATTTATATACAATAACTGAAGGTTTATCGATCGATTTTCGTGCTAGAAGTCAAATTGTAAAGGGCCCAAGGTCCCGCCCCGTTTAGCACGGAGGCGTTCGCTAATCCTGTTAGAGATACCGGACATATAGAGTTTTCATTGTATAAACTAAGCGATTTGATACTAAAGATTCTTTCGTCTGGCTATGATGAAAGTAGCTTTATATGCAGGTTATTAACAAAATGTTCGATATTTAATAATTACTAGCTTACCCGGCAGACTTCGTAGTGCCTCAATCGATAAATAAAAGACCTAAACTTTTGTATATAATAAACTTAAAACAAACAAAAGGAATCCGCCCGACGAGGAACACATCAAAGAAAAAATAAAATTGTTATTTTTATTTAATTCCGAGCATTTTCATATTTATTTACCTTTTAAACCTTCTCTGGACTTCCACAAATCATTCAAGACCAAAATTAGCCAAATCGGTCCAGCCGTTCTCGAGATTTAGCGAGACAACGAACAGCAATTCATTTTTATATAGACTAGTTGTTTTACGGTTATATTAGGTTTACCCAATATATTTAGTTTTTCTCCGGATGAACTCGTCGAATGCGACGAAGAGTTCGACGTGCAACCTAACCCAAAGACACATACCGCTGAGTTTCTCGCCGATCTTCTCAGTGGCCCGCGATTTTTATCCAGTGGTAGATTCAGCGAAGCATTGCTCTTGCTAGGGCTATTGTTACTTTCACACTAACCCCTGTGAGCTCACCTACTAAGCGGGGCGGAGTTGGATTAGCCTCGAGATTTCAAGCGATAAGGTAAGTGGTGAGGTCGTAAGGTTCAGTTTGGCTTGTGCCGGCGTATCAGTTAGAGAAACACGTCTTTCCTTCGTAAATGTATATTGACAACTACCGCTTAATCGTAAAGTTGATTGAGACTACGTTGTTAAGTTCAAAATCGCTAAACAGAATCACCAGTAGGGAAGAAAATGGAATAAACGATGGAGAAGTAAAATTACATTATTCGCAGTGGTCAGTCAGCGTTAGGGCCGCGTTGAATCTTTTGATTAATACAAACAATATTACCAACCAATTTTCGACATCATAATAAACTTTTAGAATTAATAAAGGAAAACGCTGATTCTTGTAACTGTGTCCAATCCTTAACGATTCCACGCGATAGAAAAGACGGTATAATTCAGTAACGAATAATACTTGAAAACGATAAATGTATCGTAGAGACTAGTACGAAAAATGTTAATATGCCTATGTGAGCTCAACTGTAATTATGATCGTTTTTTTTTCTGACAACCGTTTTGTGTTCTTGTTCTTTCTGTGTTTGTTTAAATCCTGATTTAATTGTCGACTAGTGTTTTTTTTTTTTCGTTTCGATGGATCGATTTCAAGGAGCGAATAGAAAGTTGGTAAAATAATTTTATGTTTTACGAATTAAGGAATCTATATGCTACGGATGAAATCGTAACAGTTGTTTTAATTGTAAATATTTTTTTTTCAATTCGTCTACGTGACTAGCCCTATTGTGTTAATATATTCAAGTTGTAATGTTCTCGAGCACGTTTTTAATTATATGAAACATGACTGGATGGTTCTGAATGTCATTATCGCGTCTAACGATTTACAAGTCTATACTAATATTATAAAGAGGAAAGATTTGTTTGTTTGTTTCGAATAGGCTCCGAAACTACTGGACCGATTTGAAAAATTATTTTTCCATTAGAAGCCGACATTGTCCCTGATGAACATAGGCTACCTTTTAAAAAAAAAAAATTATTTTATTTTTTTGGTTTCATGTGTGTTTTAATGTTTCCGAAGCGAAGCGAGGGCGGGTCGCTAGTCTTTGATAAAAATAAATATAGGTTTAATATCATGTTTATTTTATTAAGCTATACTCGTGGTCCCACAGTAGTCTAAATTCGCCTCTAATTAATTGAAATTCTGAGTTTGAAACTCAAACTAAAAGTATTATATTTCTTAATCACAGATTTCGTCAAGACTACACTATAGACAAATAATATTAAAAACAAACTATATTAATCTATTCTCAATTTGACCACAGACTTTAAACAATAACAAAAGTTTGAAAATGAACGAAGAGCATTTAAATATATGTGTTCTGTGAAATATATGGTAGTGTGTGTGTGTGTGTGTGTGTGTGTTATAAAAACATTATTTATAATCATCATCATCATTCCTTCCTATTACCCTCTGCTGGGGTGTAGGGCTCGAATCAAATTTTTCCATTATTTATAATGATTAATAAAAAAAAAATATTATAATAAAATTCTGCACTCCTTCTCTATATTCTCTAGGTATACCTAAGTGTGGAAAATTTCATACTCCTCCGTCCGCGCAATTTTCGTAAAAAGGGCTACAAAGTTTTTGCTTCACGTATTAATATCATAACAATATGTCCTTTTTGGGAGGACGATTTTTTTTTATTGCTTGGATGGGTGGGCGAGCTCACAGCCCACCTGGTGTTAAGTGGTTACTGGAGCCTATAGACATCTACAACGTAAATGCGCCACCCACCTTGAGATATAAGTTCTAAGGTCCCAATATAGCTACAAAGGCTTCCCCGCCCTTCAAACCGAAACGCATTACTGCTTCACGGAAGAAATAGGCAGGGCGGTGGTACCTACCCGCGCGGACTCACAAGAGGTCTTACCATCAGTAAATAATACAAGATATTAACAAAAAAGAAACCAAAATCAAGATATTTATGAGTCATCGATGTAGGCGAAGATAATTACAATCCATTATTCATTAAAGATAACTAAAAACCACCGGTCAGATCTTGATAGAATTTAAATGTGAACTTTTTGTTTGAAAGCTCAAGTGTAAAGCACGAGCTTTCAAATAAAAAGAAAGAATCGTCAAAATCGATTCACCTAGAAAAAAGTTCTGAGGTAAAATATATAAAAATACAGTCAAATTGAAAATCCTTTCTTTTTTTGGGATCGGTTAAAAAAGCAAAACACATCTTGATCTAAATTTTTAGAGAAAATCAATTCTCTCTCCCTCTAAAATAAATCTTCAAAATAAGTTTGTTAAATTGCTACTTCATTGCGTTGTTGATAGATTTATATTGCCGTACCTATACATAATTGAATAAAACTAATAACTCTATAGAGTTCTACATACATACTTGAAAACTAGTTTTTTTTTTACCTTGAAAGCGTGTCACAGAAAATACTCGGTTTCCTCAAATTAGATAAGCATCGCATCTATCTATAGTGGCGTGATGTAATGAAGTCTTACAAATGCCGATAGGGTACCATTTGATTTCAACCGTCTTTTGCCCGAGTTTTATTAAATTGAGAGACTTACAGCCAACAATGGGTATAGTTATATGTGTATAAAATAATATTTTTATCTATTGCGTACAAACAAATCCTAAGTCTTGATAGACACGGTTGACAGAGTGGAGCAGTCTCGATGGAGATTTTGCTCTGACCGTCTAACAGCTCTCAACACATCTGCTCATAGTCTAGCTGACTGATTGCAAGATAAAGAAAAGAAAAAAAAAAAAAAAATCTATTGCGTACATATGAGGACGTGCTCACGGCTCACGTGGTGTTAAATGATTACCGAAGCGCATAGGTATACTGACAACGTAAATGCCGCTAATCACCCCGAGACATGAGTTCTCTCAGCATAACGGCTGCCCCACTCTTCAAACCGAAACGTATTACTGCTTCGCGGCAGAAATAGGCAGGGCGGTGGTACCTTATATCTCACCTTATATCCCTCCCGGAGCCGTGGCGCACGGGCCGGCTGGTGCTTATCCCGAAGGACGGTCGCCCTAGAGACGAGCCCTCCGGGTATCGCCCGATAGTGGTGTTGGACGAGGCCGGTAAGCTCCTTGAGCGTGTGGTTGCCGGGCGTCTTGTTCAGCACCTGGAGAACATTGGGCCGGATCTCGCGTCCAACCAATATGGCTTCCGGAGAGGTCGATCGACCGTGAACGCGGTCTTACGCGTCCTCGATCTTTCCGACCAGGCGTGCTCTGGGGGAGGTGTACTGTTGGCTGTGTCGATTGATATTGCCAACGCCTTCAACGCGATCCCCTGGAGCACGATCGTGGAGTCATTACGGTTTCACCGCGTCCCCACCGGTCTCCGTAATCTGATTGAGGATTATCTCTCAGGGCGGGCGGTGATCTTCCCCGAGCGGAGTGGGTGGGGACGAAAAACAGTGTCGCGTGGGGTTCCACAAGGGTCGTTACTGGGTCCACTCCTTTGGAATATAGGCTTTGACTGGGGCCTCCGCGGGGCTAACCTGCCTGGCGTCGAAGTGGTTTGCTACGCTGACGACACGCTGGTGACGGCTCGCGGAGACGACTACCGGTCAGCAGCCGTCCTGGTTGCGGCTGTAGTGGCAACTGTGGTAAGACGAATAAAGAGACTCGGCCTCAAGGTGGCCCTCCAAAAACCCGAAGCAGTGTGCTTCCACTCAGCTCGGGCCTCGTGCTGGACAGCAAATGGAGATTCGACCACCATTTTAAGGCGCTGGTTCCGAGGCTCATGGGGGCGGCAGGTGCGCTGAGCCGTCTTTTTCCCAACGTCGGAGGATGCAGCGCCGGTACTGTACCTTGGGGTGGTGCGCAGTATGGCCCTGTACGGTGCTCCCGTGTGGTCGCCCGCACTCTCCGCGAGAAACGCGGCTCTGTTGCTCAGAGCTCAGCGGGCGCTCGCGGTGAGGGTCATCAGGGGGTACCGCACCATCTCTCAAGATGTGGCCTGCGTTCTCACCGGATCCCTACCCTGGGACCTCGAGGCCGAAATCTTGACTGCGGTATATCGGCGTAAGGCGCAGGCCTTGAGTCGGGGACGGTCGCCCGGCCCGTCGGCTGTCGGTCGGTGGAAGCGTGCTGCACGTCATGTAGCATACGCTAAGTGGAGAGAGCGATTGCTGAAGGAACTTGGCCAAACTTCGGCCACTCGCCGGCGCACCCTCGAGGCCCTGGTGCCCGTGCTGGAGGCATGGTCGGATCGGCGTCACGGCGTACTCTCCTTTCACCTTGCGCAGGTCCTCTCGGGACATGGCTGTTTCGGAAGGTACCTGTGGAAGGTCTGCAGGAGAGAGCCACATCCGGGCTGCCACCAGTGCGGTCACCCGGACGATGACGCGCAGCACGCGCTCGAAACGTGCCCGCGTTGGGAGCACTCGCGGCGAGATCTCGTCGCGGTGCTGGGGAGAAACCTCTCCCTGCGGGCTGTCGTCGCCCGCATGTTAGAGGATCAGGGCTCGTGGGAGGCCATGGTCAGGTTTTGTGACCTGGTAATGGCGTCCCGTGGGGCTGAGGAGCGTGAAAGGGAGTGGGATCCCTCTTCAGCGCCTCAGCGCAGAGGGCGGGATGGCCGGCGCGGGCGTGAAGCTCCCGCTCAGCCCCCGTAGGGACTATCAGGTGGCGGGTGCGGGGGCGCCCGGTACTCGACTGTCGGTCCGGTGGTGGGGCGGTGCAAGGTGGCTCCTGTGCGCCGCTCACGGTGTATCTCCCGAAATGACGTCTTTCGGGATTTTCCCGGAGATGAAATCCTGTCTTATCATCAGGACGGGTACCGGCGAAGGCGGACTTTCGGCGCGCACTGTGGTACCGTAGGTCTGCTGTAGCCGGTGTGGTGGAGCTCGATGGGGTTTAGTCGGTAGTCGTTCTGCGGGGCAAGTGCTTCGCGCGCCTTTTTCAAGGCGTAGTCTCTTGCGAGGAATTCGGGGAGGTGGAGGACCTTGGCCCTCCTCGTCCCCCTCTTCCTCTCAGGAGGCGCCGGAGTCCGACATAACCCGGTTCGTTACCCCCCCGGACCGGGTATCAGTCAGTTTTTGTTATGTTTCATGTTCACTTTGTCACTATACGTTTAAATCTTTCTGTCACGATTTTGTTTGTTCACAAGATTCACTTTTGCTGTTGATTTTCCTTTATGTCTTATTTATTTATCATAACCTCACTGTCGGGACAATTGTTAAACATAATTAAGCAACCAAATAAATTATTATTTCCTTTCCGGCTTTACGGACGGATTTCTTACAGATAAATTATTTAATTGTTTAGATTAGCATAGTTTACTATTTGTGTGGATTAAATACAGGATATTTAACTGCAAATGCTAATCTAGTCTAATAGCGAATGAAAGTTATTTTAATTATTTATGATAAACGTTAATGGTTAAAATTCAAAGTGAATAAAAAGTTAAATGATATTATTGTCGGTATTCACGTATAAGAGGGAAATCTTATGCAGTGTGTTGAAGAATCCCATATTATCTCAAAGTATTTTTTATTATTTCCACCCATAATTTGCTTTAGTAACGATAAGGTCAAATGTAAACACTGATTTTTTATTTTGACAATAGTTTTGTTTGTGGTATTTTGATTGTGGAATAATAAAAATACTATCACCTTCGATAAAAAAAAAATTATGACCAATACTCATTCGTTGTTACCACATTTCAATAGCTCCGTACCGAGATTCGTGGGTCACAATCCTGTAGAAATCCGGTATCTATACTAATATATAAATCTACAGTGGTTTTTACGGATGTTCCGTTATAACTATTTAACCATGCTTCCGATTGGCTTGAAACTTGGTATCCATGTACAAAATACATGTACTTAATGGGTAGGCTAATATTTATATGAGTGTTGGACTCCCTACACCAGTTGCGGGGGCGTTAATGATGAGAATCTTTGTGGGGGTGAGAAATAATAATGTTAATTTTAAATGTCCAGCGAAGCGGACGGGTACAGCTAGTAATATAATAAGATCCAAGTATTTTTTACAGATAACACAACGACTAGACATGAAAAAAAGAAATTAACGAACATAATATTATTAAATCCTTTAATAATAATAAAATAATGGATTTGGTGTTCAGAGCGACGGTGTTGCTGTTTCTTTGTTGTTTGAAAATGACGCACGCGGGACGGGTTCAAGCCGCTGTGAGTTTTTTGTAAGTACCCTAATAGGAAAGTTATTAAATTTAAAAAAAAAGAGGAGGTTCTCAATTCAACTGTTCTTTTTTAATGCGTGCTACCTCAGATTTTAGTACGCTTTTATTAGCTTCAGACGTATGTATGTTAGTATGTAACGGAATCTTTGAACATGATTTTGAACCCCTTCAAAACGTCGGATTAACTCGAAATTTGGTATACTTATTAAGGACCGATGACAATTCAATACTAAAAAAATATTGAAAAAATTTAAATTCAACTAAGAAATGAAAAATAAATATTAGTTTAAAAAAACTAACAAAATACGCTTTTATAGAAATTCTATTCATATCTGTTCATAAAATATTTATAGCTACTGATACCATGCAACCCACGCTTTTTTTACAATAAAATCATTTTTCCTTGCACTATTTTTAATTCAAATTTATTTTCAATTTTATAGTTGGATTTTCTATAAAAGCGTATTTTGTTAGTTTCTTTAAACTATAATTTATTATTATTCGAAAGCTGGTGCTTTCCGTGAGATACCATTTTATCAAGATCTGACCAGCCGTTTTTGATACTTGGGAACGCATGTTTAATTGAATTGGACCACATTTATGATAATATGCTAACTACTTGCTTTTTGAAGTTATACTTCTTTATATATATCTTTAGGCGCGTTATGAAAAATTTATGAGAGTGAAATTTTACGATGCGCGCGCACCGTGACACAAAATTAACAGAATGAAGTTGCCCATTAAATCGCTCATTACAATACGACCGACGTAACTTGGCGAGTCTGAGGTATAAGAATATATAAGTCTATATTCAGGTGAATTTTCCGAACCGTACCGAGAATTACCGAATTTACACGATGTCAAGAAAAGGGATGTGCGTCTTTGAGGATGTTGTTTAATCGATTTTTTTTTTAATTGATTAAAATTTCAATAAATAAAAAAAGAAATAAATTTAATAAAAATAAAGTATAACTTCTTACGCGCGTACATATAAGTACACGCACCCTTTTTTGCTAAAGTTTTGTATTCTTTATCTTTTAGAATTACTAAATAAATTCCAACATTAAGTTAATTTGAAAATATCGTTTCAGAGCCAACGGGTCATACCAAGAGATCGAATTGAAATCCGAGTCCAGTCTGTCACTTCGCGACATCTTGCCCGTGAAGGCAAAATATTACGACAAGAACAGAGCACCCAAACTCCTGGGTCAGCCGACTGTGGTATACTTTCACGTCACCGTACTCTCCTTGGATTCCATTAATGAAGAAAGCATGGTGAGTAACTTAATATATGTTATTTCGGAAGCCTCTTAAGATTTACGAAGCATTACGAAGGGTCTTTTTTATTTTTATTTCTAAGATGGTCACCTCAATTATAGGTGCAATCGCCAGTGCAGTAACAACAAAAATAAATAGATTATACAACTAAGATTTGATTACATTTGATTGATTGTTTAAGATTAATTTATATTTAATTTGGAAATTATCCGCGACAGATTTTTCTTGTAAGTTGTGAGACAGTTAGAAAAAACATCTATTTCACTTAAAATTGGTTTAGCGCAATCGGACAACTCCGAACGAACATTGATGGAGACCGCGCTACCGTGGACATTATTGTCACTCACCTTGAGATATAAGGTCTAAGGTTCTAAGGTCTCAGTACAGCTACAACGAATGCCCCACCCTTCAAACCGAAACGCATACTGCTTCACGGCAGAAATAGGCAGGGTGGTGGTACCTACCCGCGCGGACTCACAAGAGGTCCTACCACCACCAGTAATTACGCAAATTATAATTTTGCGGGTTTGATTTTTATTACACGATGCTATTCCTTCACCGTGGAAGTAAATCGTGAATATTTGTTGAGTACGTATTTCATTAGAAAAATTGGTACCCGCCTGAGATTCGAACACCGATGCATGGCTCAACACGAATGCACTGGACGTCTTATCCTTTAGGTCACGGCGGATTCTGTTTAAGGGAGAGTAAGTAAGTAAGTAAGTTGTTTAATAAAGCCCCGCTTGGTAATCGAAAATTCCAGACGTACGTGGCCGATATATTTTTGGCACAATCCTGGCGCGATCCCCGACTGCGCTTACCAGAGAACATGCACGAAGAGTACAGAATCCTGGACGTAGACTGGCTGAACAGCATCTGGCGTCCGGACTGCTTCTTTAAGAACGCAAAGAAAGTCACTTTCCATGAAATGAGCATACCAAATCATTATCTCTGGCTGTACCACGACAAGACTCTTCTTTATATGTCCAAGTTAGTATTTGAATGGCTTTGCTGGATTTTTAATGAAGTAATTTTATTAAGAAGTGTAGTTTAGGATGATAAAGAGTTCTGACTCAAGGTAGGTTAGGGGCCCGTGGGGCGCAGGAACACCTCTACGTCTCTGCTCTTAGATACGATATTACTACGAGAGGATTACTGCAAAATTTATAGAAGCCGTCCTGACCTAAAGAATAAAGGATAGAGTGGCTGATGTACTCTTAGTTAGAGACGAGTCTATACTGTTGTTGAAATGCCCAGAAGCAGGTACCGTTTTTCAATCGCATAATACACCTAACACGTATCTAGGAATAAATTTCTGAGGAATTCCTACGAAATTGAAGGAATAACGTGAGTACCAGTGATACGTTCTAGATCCGAATAATAATCATTTTACTTATTAAGTCATGTTTAGCTCGCAATTAGGGCCAATGGTTAATTCGATTCAAAAGTAGCGGCATAGAAAAAAAAATTGACAAAATTAACACGAGTAGCAATGTACTAAGTCCCAAATTTATTTAAAAACGGCAATGTACTCAAAACTCACTAAAGCATGAGAAGTGTTCTCTGAAATTAGTTTGGACATCTAGGAAATAATCACGTTTATTTGGTTTATATTTAGATTGACATTGGTGCTTTCGTGTGCTATGAAATTTGAATCGTATCCTCACGACACGCAGAGCTGTTCCATAATGATAGAGAGCTGTGAGTATATCTGATTAAAGATAACATTTATCGAGCGGGTTTATTGGATTTTTATTTATATACTAGCTGACCCGGCAAACTTCGTAGTGCCTCAATCGATAAATAAAAGACCTAAACTATTGTATAAAATAAATTTAAAACAAACAAAAGGAATCCGTCCGACGGACACATCAAAGGAAAAACAAAATTGTCATTTTTATTTAATTCCGAACATTTTCATATTTATCTACCTTTTAAACCTTCTCTGGACTTCCACAAATAATTCAAGACCAAAATTAGCCAAATCGTTCTCGAGTTTTAGCGAGACTAACGAACAGCAATTCATTTATATATATATAGAAGATGTCATTATTTTCTTACGTTAGAATAGGATAAATGATAACGTTTACGGGATTACAGGAGATTGCGATCTTTCGTTTTCAAAATGTACTATGCATAAATACATATTTATCTAAATATTTTAGTTACGCACTCATAGATCATAGATACTTTTTTGTAAAGTGAATAATTTTTTTTTTGGGTGGACGAGCTCACCGCCCACCTTGTGTTAAGTGGTTACTGGAGCCCATAGACATTCACAACGTAAATGCGCCACCCACCTTGAGATACAAGTTCTAAGGTCTCAAGTATAGTTACAACGGCTGCCCCACCCTTCAAACCGAAACGCATTACTACTTCACGGCAGAAATAGGCAGGGCGGTGATACCCACCCGTGCGGACTCACAAGAGGTCGTACCACCAGTAAAAATATACAGTTTCATGCATGTTTCTCATTTAAAGTAGCTTAGATGAGTGAAACAGCTTATGTATGTATTATGAGCGGTTACGGAAACTCAAGGCGTACGTAAAATTGACTGTTCACCTCGTAACGTCGATCTAATGAAGATTAAGCTGTATGGTATGACACCTTTGCCTTTCCATTTGGAAAAATACTATTACTACATACTTAAATTTGGATTCATTAGCATTACGTAAATAACAGGGTTTACTACTTTTAAATTGTCACTGTTTGCATAATGCTACGCGACAGAAAAAGTTCGGAATTGTGTACAAATTTTGATGTTTCAACTATCCAGTCTTATCTTCTTACAGTGTCACACACAGTCCACGATTTGGTGTTCATATGGAATCTGACGGACCCATTGGTGGTGAATCCGGACATCGAACTGCCGCAGTTGGACATCGCTCATAACTATACCACAGACTGTACTATTGAGTACTCCACTGGTAATATAAGAATCATATTCTATGATAATTCTATGATAGTGTTACGCTCTGGGGTTCGGGATAAATAAAAGTTCCACCAAAGTACAAATTAAAACTGTATTTATCACATAAAACACTCACAAAACACTTTACAAGTCGTAGTTCACTTCTTCCGCTTCGCTTCAGGTGATCCGTTCGCTGTTTCGCTCTGAGTAGATCCGATTACTGACTGACTTCATGCTTTCTTTGCAACGCTTTTATAGTCGATACGACATCCCTAGATTTATCGAAAACATTCTGAGCAAGTCGAGAAGCTTCGATGTGTGTTTCCGCTATCTGACAATAGATGGCGTTGTACTCGAGCATTCTCAACGTTGCTAGTTCTTTTGATATTCGTTTCGGCTATTCGGCGATACATGGCTTCCACTATCGCCTAATACTAAGCTGTAGCTGAGTTAGCAGTAAATTTCAACGCTAGCATCAACTAATCAACAAACAAATGACTGAATATGAAAATAGAAAATATAATTTGGTAGGCAGCGTCTTGGCTCTGTTCCTGGCATTGCTGACGTCCATGGGAGACGGCAACCACTAACCATCCGGTGGGCCGTATGCTCGTTTGCCTGCACGGGCAAAAAATATATGTATGTCGGAGAAGCCACAATTATTAACACCATCGTCACACATCATAGGGGCGAATAGGGTGATCGAACTAAGAGAAATATTGAGTACACTAATCACGATGGTTGTCTTAGAAAAATTTAGAAATCTTCTCTTGACGTTAGCAAACGAAAACGAATGACATTCGTACGTAAATTATGGCCGATATTTTAAAATGGCAACTTCATAGGTATAGGAGACGTAATATTTTGAACTATAATAGCTGTTAAATCACGATATTTTAGTTAAATGTGTTTTTCTATACTAATATTATAAAGAGGAAAGATTTGTTTGTTTGTTTGTTTCGAATAGGCTCCGAAACTACTGGACCGATTTGAAAAATTCTTTTTCCATTAGAAGCCGACATTGTCCCTGATGAACATAGGCTACTTTTTTTTTCATTTTTTTTTATTTTATTTTTTTGGTTTCATGTGTGTTTTAATGTTTCCGAAGCGAAGCGAGGGCGGGTCGCTAGTTTAAATATAAACTAAGAGTTATTCCTGTAAAAAAAGAATGATTAGTTTCTTTGTTATTACAGTTCTGTACAGTTTGGAACTTTGACTGCAAAATGACGGTCTTTTACGCAAGTGTTTTCTTTAAGACACATTCCCTAATCTTTGCACAATTACTTTTCCTAGGTAACTTCACATGTTTGGCCGTTGTCTTTAATTTGAGACGTCGCCTTGGATACCACCTTTTCCACACCTACATACCGTCGGCGCTCATCGTTGTTATGTCTTGGATTTCATTCTGGATCAAGCCCGAGGCCATTCCCGCCAGAGTCACCCTCGGAGTCACTTCATTGTTGACTTTAGGTAAGGATTCTCTAACATTCGTAATTGTTGTTAAGTTTTGGTTTGTATTGAAAATTATCTAGACCAGGCTTATGGTGCTTAAAGTTTATCAGAACTCTTATATACCAACCGTAGATGTAGACACGAAGCCGAAAACCTCTGGATCGATATTTATTCGTCTGAAAGATGTACTTATACTCTATTCTATTGACGACCGTCTGGTGTAGTGGTAAATGACATGGTCACTACACAAGGGGGTCGCGGGTTCGAATCCCGCCAAGGGAAGATATTTGTATGATAAATATAAATGTCTTTTCCAGGGTTATGGATGTATATTAAAATATATGTATGGGTATAATAAAAATCTTACATTTATATCCGTTATCTGGTACCTGTAACACAAGTTCTTTACGAACTTATCACGGGACCAGTTAACGTGGCGTGATTGTTAGTAAATATTCATTTATTTATTCGTGTGATGAACAGGTTTGTTAGCTTTTTGTCTAAATGTTGAGTATCTATATAAGTATCTTTTTTAACGAATACAAGCTTTTATAGTATGGATTCTCATAGTACAGGGACTTCTAGATTGGGGTTAGATTATATCGTGTGTGATTTGTCGGCAATTATTATTATTATTATTATACTTACCGGAACCATAAACATCTCAATGTCAGGTTGGAAGTCTGGCGATTTCCTCCTGACCAAAAAAAAAAGGTGTGACATGACCTATGCGGTAGGATATTCCATGAATACGTTTTTTTACTTATTTTGCTCCTATAACCTGAAGTATTGAGCCGTTCTTCATAGCAATTGCAATTAAAATAACCGTCGCATCTCAATAGAATTTGTAACCTATTTCATTACCTGATTCATCAATAAAATCGTAATTTTTAGCAACACAAAACACTCAATCTCAGCAAAGTCTTCCGCCGGTGTCGTATGTCAAAGCCATCGATGTCTGGATGTCGTCCTGCTCGGTGTTCGTCTTCTTATCGTTGTTCGAGTTCGCCGTCGTGAATAATTACATGGGCCCCGTCGCCACTAAAGCCATGAAGGGATATTCCGATGAAGACCTGTCCAGGGATTTAGACGCTTTCAAGGTGATAAGATTTTCTTGTTGGTTTCTTAAAATATATTGATGTATAATGCGGTTTTTTTTGCATCGTGTATGAGCACGCTCTTCTGGTGTTAAGTGGTCACCGGAACCCGTGGACAGATCTGCTTTGAGGTAGAAATGGCCACGGTGCTGATACCTACCCAGGCGGGCTTAGAATGTGTCTTCCAACCCAACTCAATACACGATGTTATTCCTTTGTTTTGAAAGTCAATAGTCGACTGAATGAATAACTAACTGTTCTAAAGCAAACCATTAAAAAAAAAGCCAATAACAAATACCAGTAACTTTATTAAGATAATATGTAAGCCAGCGATGGAACAAAGCCGGTTTCTCAGTTAACTTTTTGATGAGAATTCAGTTTTTCTTGTCTTTTTTTTTGCCCTTGCATGCAGACGAACATACGACCCACCTGATGTGAGTGGTTACCATCGCCCATGGACGTCAGCAATGCCAGAGAGGCTGAGCCCAGCCGCTGCCTACCGTTGTCTGTGAGAACATTCTCGATACACCCTTCTATATATTACATACTACTTCTTCTATATATTACTTCTTATACATACTACTTCTTCTATATATTACTAGTATATTACTTCTTTCCAGCACATATTTCCTGGAAGCACAGAGCCTCGAGCGAGTGCGGCTTCAGTGCCACAGTACGACACGTTCTGCAATGGAAGGGAGACGGCCGTTTACATAGATAGATTCAGTCGATTCTTCTTCCCGTTCTCTTTCTTCATATTAAACGTGGTGTATTGGTCCACGTTTTTGTAAAATCAACGGAAAACTTACTAGTCACATACTTTTAGTAGATCCTTTAATAGGTTTAGCTCGTTTTAAGGCAACACTAAGTAAACTAAGTCACTAGTGTAATAATTTTCTGAGATGTGTATGTATGTGGTTGAAGCGATTTTCATCTATTTACATTTCTAATTAGACGCTATATAAAATTTTGTAATTCGTACGTTATAAAGGACAGACTTCCATATAACGGAACCCCATATTTTAACTCCGTTAGGGTTTTTAATTTGCAAAGATCATTCCTTATTGAATGCATTGCATAAAACTGATAAACATTTTGAATTAACAGCCCTAGCTGCTTAGACTGTACTTTGATAAACCAATCAGTCCAGAAACTTTAATATTATTTAACAGTTTTAAAATATATTAAGCAGTGGTTGACACAACGCTTATATCATAGAGTATAGATAATACAGTTAAGAGCTTATATGTGGACAAATAACAGCTTAGTCGTCCGTGATCACGAAAACTGTAAAACGTGCGAAATTTCGGAAGTAATACAACAAAAATAATAAACACTAAATTGAACCGTGATAGTAATTTAGATTTTTTTTTTATTGCTTAGATGGGTGGACGAGCTCACAGCCCACCTGGTGTTAAGCGGTTACTGGAGCCCATAGACATCTACAACGTAAATGCGCCACCCACCTCGAGATATAAGTTCTAAGGTCTCAGTATAGTTACAACGGCTGCCCCACCCTTCGAACCGAAACGCATTACTGCTTCACGGCAGAAATAGGCGGGGTGATGGTACCTACCCGTGCGGACTCCCAAGAGGTCATACCACCAGTGATTACGCAAATTATAATTTTGCGGGTTTGATTTTTATTACAGGATGTTATTCCTTCACCGTGGAAGTCAATCGTGAAAATTTGTTGAGTACGTATTTCATTAGAAAAATTGGTACCCGCCTGCGGGATTCGATCACCGGTGCATCGCTACATACGAATGCACTGGACGTCTTATCCTTTAGGCCACGATGACTGTATCATTAGATTATGTGACCGTAATATGTGGAAATCCACATTGACTTGTTTGTTTAGTTTATCTAGAATATAAGATCTAGAAGATTATAAGATCTAGAAGATTATAAGATCTAGAATATCATACGAAGTGCCAAGCTCGGTTATTACGGTAGCACAATGACGTGACAGCTTGTCAAACTGTTATCATAAGTAAATACAGGATCTGATGAGTGTTTCTTTTAGAGCCATTGTGCTCACACGCTAACGGCAGATGGTCCACGAGTTTTCCGGCAACCGAAGCTCATAGATGTTGCAACGTGAGACAGAACGCGAACGTTTTGTCTAACGACTGTCTTAAACAACAATCGAATTGTATGATTGGTTCGCGGCAGAAATGGGCAATTATTTTAGATCAAACAGGTTTGAGCGCGTTCGACTTTTGTAACCACAAAGACCTTTCAATAATTAAATGAACATAATCAAATTATATGGAATGTGTATTTATTTTGAATGTTTTAATTTGAAAAATTGAATTTTTCATTGTCGTCTTTAAATATGTTCTAGTTATGGAAAATTTAAAAATAAATGAATAATATTAATTTATTGTGTTTTTTTGTTTGGCCCGTGTATGTGAGCGTTTGGCATACTTAATGTTCTTGTGGCTCATGGACGTCAGCAATGCCAAGGACAAAGCCTGCCACTGAGTAATCGCCGCAAGCCTTCGTTTCGAAGTTGGTTATAAATTAATAAATAGGATTTATAGCTTGGCTGTCTATTGGTAAGCATAACCTTTTTTGTCGATTGATAAGCGAGCTCTCAGCCCATTGGTGTTAAGTGACTACTGGAGTTCCCGGTCATCAAAACAGGAAACCCGCCACTCACCCTGAAGCATGAAGTCCAGATTTCCACTCTATTGCTTAATAGTTGTACCGTCCCGACCTACTCGAACAAGGCCTACCCGTAAACTCCGTGCACCGCATGCACACAGGACGCGGGAGGGAGCCATACAATATGGTTCTCGTCGCCCTCCAGTCTACCCCCGAGGGTAAGAAACTCTTTAACGTCCGAACTGTCTGTAGGCTTTCCGGAATCACCGTGGAAACCCCTCATAAAAAAGGCACTCCGAGCCAGTGCCACAATTGTCAGTTGTACGGGCATTCTTCCCGTAATTGTCACGCGCGCCCTCGATGCGTCAAGTGTTTGGACGATCACGCCACGACTCTTTGCACTCGCGATCAAAAAACCGCGACGGAACCACCTAGCTGCGTCCTGTGCCGAACACAGGGTCACCCCGCGAATTACCGTGGATGCCCCCGAGCCCCTAAAATAAATCGCCNTGTCGTGGCGTGCAACCTCATTGACAAGACATAAAACCTATAATGACTAGACATAGACAGACTAAGACAGACATTTGAAAATAATTCAAAAATAAATGGAACGAGGGCGTACGTGACCAGCAGCGACGCAGTACATTTTTTGACTTCTGAAAAGACAGACATACAAAAAGACGAAAAAGAACGAATAATAATTGACCGTTCTTATATAAGATGTTCTAGTGACCTTCGACCGTTCAAGTAGTCATTCGACCGTTCAAAAAAAATAAAAAAAATTAATAATGTTAATTTATTGTGTTTTTTTTTGGCCCGTGTATGTGAGCGTTTGGCATATCTAATGTTCTTGTGGCTCATGGACGTCAGCAATGCCAGGGACAAAGCCTGCCACTGAGTAATCGCTGCAAGCCTTCGTGGCGAAGTTGGTTATAAATTAATAAATACGATTTATAGCTTGGCTGTCTATTGCTAAGCATAACCTTTTTTGTCGATTGATAAGCGAGCTCTCAGCCCATTGGTGTTAAGTGACTACCGGAGTTCCCGGTCATCAAAACAGGAAACCCGCCACTCACCCTGAAGCATGAAGTCCAGATTTCCACTCTATTGTTTAATAGTTGTACCGTCAAACTGGAATAGAAAACTGCGTCGCGACACACAAAGCTAGCATAAGCCGTTGTACTGTAAAAACTGAGACTTAGTAATCATGTCTCAAGTTACGTGGCAGCATTTAAAATGGTCAGTGTGAAAAAGTGTAAAATTGAAAAGTGTAAAATATTTTTTTTATTTACTTTTTTTAAAATAAACTATTACTAATTGAACAAGAACTGTCTGATGAACTCATCTTTGTTTAATACTTCACTATTATAATAAATTTTGTTGCCTTTTGTTTATTTCACTTTTACACTAAACACAATATTGAAAATTACCCGAGCACAACAATGGCGGAGAATTTTAGGTGCGTGAGAGCAGATGTAGACACTAACGCGCACGCGCACTTGTCAGTACCCAGGGAGGAAAAGTTAGACTTTCTTCCCTGTACAGCGGTAGGAAAATCGAACTTTCGACGTAGGTAGGAGAAAAAATACACTTGCGAACAATTGTGTTGGGTTAGCACGGGTACATCAGGGTATTGTACTTAAAGCGTCTAGATTCGACTTATCTAAACTTAAAAGCTTACACAGTGCCTGCTGAGACAGTACTCTGTGCAAAGTCCGCATGGAAGCAAACGCCAAGCTGCATATGGGCGGTGGCACGGGAGGTGGTATACTTGCCTTTATGCATTAATAGCCCGAAGAGACTGGCGGACTTAGAGGATCTGGGATGGTGTTTGTACTTCGCTCTCGCTGATTAAATTTTCGGCTTTCGACAATGGCCCATCTATCTAGCATTGGCTTAAGAAAGCTATTAAAAAGCATCTGTGCAATAAAGCTTACTATAAAGTTAATGATTATCTAGAAGATTGCACAGTGCGAATGAGTTGCTCGCTCCGGGCATTTCAATATTGCAATAATTGTTATGCTATAATCGTCTTGTAAAAATGCATATTTAAAGAAAAAAGATATGCCCGCTGAGTTTCTTGCCAGTTCTTCTCAGGACAGAGGCTAGTTTTTGTGAATTGGCGGTAGTTCTTTTTGACGTTCAACAAGTATGTACATTCATTTACGATGAATAAAAACAAAATGACTTCATTCGATAACATTTACTTCACGTATAGTTTCTGCAATAAATATCGACTGAGCTATATATAATAGGTTCATTAAATTAAGTCGTGTGTTCAAAGTTTAAGCTATCACAACTACATTATATTATATCGAATACGCAAATAAGGTGCTTCTTATGCAATCTATTTGCGTGCGTTTTTTGTTCTGTTGCCAACTCCATTGCTGATTACAAGATACTTTCGAAAAGGATTCCCAGACCATTGTCTGCCTGACAAATTAGGTATCAGCACTGAATGGTTTTTAGTCTAGACTTTTTTATTTTATTAAGGCCAAGCCAGTTCCTTTTCATGACTTTTATTGATTTTTTTTCCCTACCTAAGCTGATCGTTATAGCCTTGAGAGGCTATATCAGCGTAACCCTAACTTGTAGGTGAATTTTCGGGGCTCAAACCAGGAGGAGTTGCTAACACTGGCCCTAGCAAGAGCAGTGCTTCGCAGAATCTACCACCGGATCGGAACGCGACCCACTGAGAAGATCCGACGAGAAACTCAGTGGGCTGTGTCTCTGGGTTAGTTTACTCGTTGAACCCTTCGTCGCGAGCGACGGGTTCGACGAGAATTTAATTGATAGGTTTGCCTCCTATTTAACCCAAGTTATTAGAGAAATACATACGGTACGAAAACTTATGCACCCAAATCAGAACATGTTTCCTAATAATTAGTTTTACTTATCCAACAGTTTAATATAAAACATTCTACCACAAAATCTTTAATTTCATCTCCTACCGTCGCCGAATCATTACTGCAAAATCATGTTGATAAATGCAGTGTTAACTTTAAGTTCACAAATATTGACACAAAGGACATAATTGATAATTTCAAGCTCATTAATATTAAGAAAACTGGTGATTTATGGGGAATTTGAATTAATGTTATAAAATTCATTATTGATATAATTGCACCTTACCTTGCTACAATATTTAATGACTGTATTGATGGGGGTGTGTTTCCTGATCTAATGAAATATAGTAAAATAATACCTTTATTTAAATCTGATAGTACTTTTGACCCCTCTAACTTTAG